TGAGACTAGGAAAAACTTCCTAACAATTAGAACTCTGCAAAAGCAGAATGGGGCAGTGGTTTCCCCCTCACTGGAGGTTTTGAAGGGAAAGCCGGATGGCCAACTGCCAGACAGGTTGTAGGGAGCAAATCCTTGTTGGACTAGCTAACTTCCCAGGTCTCTTCCAAATCTGAGATTCTGTGATTCTGTAATGCCTCAGTCTCGTTATACCACTTCCCTCCTCATAAGATTTTATGCCTCCCTATTGCCCAATGGATAAAATACATATTCTTTAGGCTGGTTTTCAAGGTCCTGCACAATTTGGCCCTGACCAACTTTTTCAATCTTATTTCTTAATCCTCTTCTTTTTTCTAACAAAAAGATGCAACCATACTGGATTGCTCACTTTTCTCCCATTTTGTCCTAACCATTTCCACTTCTGTAAATTTTTACCACCTCACTGCCATGCTTGAAATGGACTTTCCTGGAGTCTCTGGCTGTTGAAATTATTCTCTTCCCTTGATACCAGTTTTTCCATGAACCCTTCAATGATTTCCACAGTTACCTCATTGACTCTCTCCTATTCTCTATTTAATCTCTCCTGTGTCACTTTATCTTAGCCCACGTTGTATTATTTGTGTACATGTCTCATCCTCCCCATCCAAGATTATAAGCTTCCTAAAAATAGGGACTGTAGTTTTCCTCTTGATATCCCTAGGACCCAGGGCAGTCCTTTAATATGTAAATCTTCGTTGAATTAATCCAATACCTATCAGCTAAATCAATAGCAAACCAAAAGTATAAATTAAAGGACAATGTACAGGACTATCAGAGAATCTTATGGCCATTAGCTATGGTAGGTACATGGAATGATCTCTCAGTTACATGTGTATGTATGTAAAACCCGAGTAGATGGTGCTATTTTTTTTATTCAAGGTCATGATGAAGATAGGGAAGATTCAAAACAACAACTGAAGTTTTATAGTCATATTAAAGCAAAGGTCTGAGACCACTCACTGTAAATAGCTCCTAAGATAGAATCACATGACTGCATCTTTAGTGAAATTAGGCAGAAAGGGAAGTATTTTATAATTTCTAATTCAGCCCACTTCTTTACTGCAGTTCAGCAATTCTTCGGTGGATTTGTAAGGCTGCAGGTACTTATCCCTTATTAATCCCTAGTGTTAATTTCCAATGGGAAGTGAGTTTTCTAACCAAACTTTTCCTAGCTATAAGTCAATGGTTTTTCTTGGCTTCCATTCAAATTCAACGAAAGAAGAATTAGCTATTCTATTGGCAAGGCCACAGTAGCGGAGATTCAGTGCAGCCTTCAATCTATTCACAGCCTCTCCTCGGAGATGGAGAGACCACTTGCTGAAGCTGGTTATTCTCAAACGTGAATTAGAGAACCTATTTGTAAGTACGATGATGTTGCCTTGCAGACTGATGGAAACATCTCTTAGGGTCGTGAATCTAGTGAGTACTCAATCAGCATCCATTGCTGATGTCTGACCAGAGTGTTTTGAGTCCTCAGCATGGGATGATGAACTGAAGGGTTCTGCTGCTTATTCTCATTATAATCAATTATATGTATGTACCTGTGTATATGTATATATGTATGCATGTATAGGTTTATACACATATGTACATATACACACAGAGATACCATTTATCTATTAATTTTAAAACACATGGTTTTATAAGCAAAACTATTTTCCCTTTGTGCATGTGGGCACTGGGATATATTAGCATTGGGAAGATAAACCCTGCAAACGAAATAATGTCTTTCACTGAATCAATATGCATGCTCTTTGTACCATTATTATTTGTAAAAACTGCTGAATTCCAAAGAGAACAGTGTAAAAGGCAACACACTCCCAAGACAAGAAACCTTCTCTCCCTTTTCCTTAGATGGGTCTATTAGTGTAGGACTACCAGTGCAGAGCTTTCTATCTTGATATCCCATAGGTTTCTCAAGCTTACCACGTCCAAAACAGAACTTCTCTTTTTCCATAAACCCATCATTCTTCCAAATGTTTCTGTTTTCTGTCAAAGGTGCTGCCATTCTTCTACTTTCCTGGATTAGTAATCTCAGCATTATCTTCACCTCCTCACTGTACCTCACCCCACATACCCAATTAGTTGATGAATCTTGCTGTTTCTACCCCTACAACATCCCTCACATAAGTACTGCCTTACTTTTGGCCCTCTCACTTAGATTATTTTAATGCTCTCTTAATTGTTTCACTCCAGCCCATCCTCCACACTTGTGCCAAAGTGTTTTTTCTTAAATGCAGGTTGGACATAACTTCCCTACTCAGTAAAGGCCACTGCCTTTAGGATGAAATATAAACTGATTGTTAAATTTTAAAAGATCCTTAAAACCTGGGCCTTTACTAGCTGTGTGACCCTGGGCAAGTCACTTAACCCCAATTACCTTAAAACAAAAAAACAAAACAAAAAAACCTGGTCCTAACCTATCTTTTCAGCCACACTGAACAGGCCACCAGATGATCTGATAGTCCTGTTCACTGTCCTTTTATTTATACTTTTGGTCTGAACCTACTTGTTTATTAATTTAACTGACAGCTACTGGAATAATTCAACAAGGATTGCCCTCTCTAGTCTTCAGATACAGCACACCACCTCCTGCCTCCATCTTTGCACTAGTCCACCCCTCTCACCTGGCATGCACTCCCTATTCATCTCTGCTTCAGAATCCTCTTTCAACAAGACAGAGCTCAAACACTACTTTCTACCACAAAGCCTTTCTGGATCTCTCAACTGTTATTCATCTTCTCCCCAACTAACTTCTATTGAACTACTTTATATTTATTTATATTTATTCTCCATGTGTTTTTATGTGTCCTTGTCTCCCTTGTTAAAATGGAAGCTACCTGGGGGAGTAGAGATTGTTTCTTTGTGTGTCTGGCACAGTTCCTGGAATACAATAGGTGCTTAATAAATCTTTGTTGACTGACTGGTGGTTCTTATCTCCGCCTTTCCATAAATGCTCTATAGGGGACCCACTGAATATAGTAAAGGCTTTCCATTCATTAATGAATATGGTAAGGGTACCAAAGGTAGGACAGAGCTTTGCCATCTCTCATTCTTACTATATGATTGAGTTGCCTCATTTTCTGGTTATATGGTTATAATTATCTTTTATGCCACTTTGCATGTATCTTACGGCTTATAACCTTCTGCATCCTACTCATACCCACCATGCATTTTCTGGGTGGCCCTTTGGATCACTAGCAGATCTGAATCTGAGATCATGCCATTTCATAATTCAGAGCTGCACACAGAAGAGCAGTAAGGGAATATTGTTATTAAAACATACGGTGTTTGTGGTACCATTTCTGTCACCCCTGAAAAAGGTTTATCACCTTTCTTTGCATAATGCGTGATTCCAAAAGTATTACTTAGGGAAGAAATTTGTTGTCAGACTGCCAGACAGTCAATAAATATTTATGGGAGCACAAAGGAAAATAAGCTTCACAAATCCAGAACCAATTCCACTCTGAATGTTCTAACAGTCGGATCTGTGGTCATGGCTTCTCCACAGCCCAACACCATACCCTGACTCCAGCACTGCAATGACATTGGTTGTCTTCTTCAAAAACAAAGGACAAACAACAAAACATGGGGGTGTACAAAGTAGCGAAGTGAGTGTTTGAGTTTTGGCTAACTCTTAGCAATTACGAAGCATTCTCTAAAGCTCATTCAATTTGTTTGTAGATATAGGCATCCAAAAGTCCAAGTGACTTTGAAAAGTTCATGATCTGGTAAAGCCTGGAGCCTGTTCCCAGTAAGAAAAGAAAAATGTCAAAGGAGAAGTACACTGTTAGTTCGAGGGTAAAGAGACACCAAGACAGACAGATACACACATGCACACAGGTGTGCATGCACAGAAATTAATCACTGGGTTTGGAAGAGAAAAGAGAATTTTGGATGGTTCATGGGAAAAATAAGATGAAAGCACTAACAATGATTCTCTGACTTTCAAAAGGAGACAGAAACATGTCCCAAAGATAAACTACAGCATAGCCACTTCTCCAGAGAATGAAACGAAATCAATGCCCAGCTTCTTAAAGAAAGTCTGCATCAGGATACAGACTTGCAGATGGTTTTAAAAAAAATCTGTTCAGTCCTCAAAATCATTCGTTGGTCTGCCAAGTCTATATTGGCCACATTTACATTCACCAGACCCATGCTGCTCTTGATATAGCTACTCCTACATCCTCCTCCAAGCTCTATATTATTAGGTACAGGCATCTGTCTGTCTACAGTAAATACACTCAGAGACACTCTGTTAGACACAGATTCCCATGAAAATCATATAAAATGGGACTATAAAGAGAGAAGTGTGGTTGAGTCTACTGGAAAAAGGACTTCATTAATGAAACGTCGGAATTACAGAACTCAAACCAAGCCAACAACGTGTGCTCCCCGGGGGAAACCCTTAAGACATATATGCTTTAGTGACTAGGTGAGAGTGATTTGTTAAGAATAACTGTGGATTTGAAGTTTGTGATGGTATCTGAATTAATGAAGTGTGACTTTATACTGAATTTCTTTTAGACTCACTGTCTAGTTATCATAGAACTTTCAATTCTGGTTTCTGTTATAGTATGGGCACAAGGCCCAGTGCAAACTTCCATGACTATTTTAATATACCACAAGATTAAACAAACAATCCCTTTTCCCTTTGCTCCCACCAGTCAGATGCCTTTTATACGCAGTCATTTTCATGTTGTATCCGCCATTAAAATATGAGCTCCTGGAGGGAAGAAACTGTGTTTGTCTATCTTTGTTTCCCCAGTTCATTTACTATAATGCCTGGGATATATAGTAAGTGCTTAATAAATTGCTTGTTGACTTGATTGATTTAATGTGTGCTACAATGTGGCCATTTCCAGGGAAGACAGTATTCCTACAGGGAGCAGCCCTTTCTCAAATCAAGGGTCAAAGAGGACAAAGGGGGAAGATGGTAAAGACACAGAAGGAGCCAGGTTTACCTCCGTGTTCTGTCCACTTTTGTAGAGCTGAGGTACGGTAACCAGTATTTCAGCTGGGACATCTTTATCGAGCACTCCAGTAATTAATTGAGGAAGCGATGAAAACAATAAATTAAAGAAGATCAAAAACCATTGATCAATCATGGAAGATGCGGAGAATCCACAGTAAAACTGGTACCAAAATAGAAGGGCCACAAACATCTGCAGACAAAAGAGATGGGTGATGCTTTTGGTTAAGAAGGCCAGCTTTTCTTTCAGTTATTAATAATACTGTTCATCAAGCATCTTTAAAGTCGTCCTAGGGTGGAAATGTAGAGCCTATATCAGATTGTACGCCATCTTGGAGAGGTGGTGGGGAGGAAAGCGGAGAAAAATTTTAAGCTCAAAAGCATATGGAAGTGACTGTGGATAAACCAAAATAAATTAATAAAATAAAAAAAAAATTTAAAAAAAAAAGTCATCCTAGGAATAAAAAGCAAAGGGTAAAACCTCACAGACAAGTAAAAGAATCACTCACCATCCACAGGCAAATGAGAGAGCATAACATTCTCAAATTAGTAGCAATCAGAAAATATCGACAATTAGGAGAGATGAAGGCCTTTGGGACTAAATAGTAACCAATTATTTCAGCAAGAATGAAACACACTGACATTAATGGTATTCCATATGTTTATAACAATCTAATAATTTTTATCAATACTTCAATATTTCAAGGATATGTAATTTCACTGGCTACTCCTTCTATTGACCTAGATTCCTACTCCACTACAACTTTGTAGACTGTCTTCAGGAGTTTCCTAAGGGAAAAAAAAATTGTACCCTGAAGCCAACATGGTGGTGAATCTTTCTGAACTAAGTAAGGTGATGCTGAGACAAGAAACTGAAGTGTCTCTTCTCTGGTTGGAATTTGAAGCCTTTTGAGCTTGGCTGTCCTTCCTAGAACTTGTCCTTAACTGGTCTAACCTTCCAGAACTTGGGTTCACCTCCATGCCAGGAAGACACATCAAGGAGAACTTGAATGCAGGGATTACGAACAGCTAAAATACATACAAACCTTATCATTACAAAGTGTTTTTACATAACTTCATTACAGCCTGTAAGATAGGAAGTGAAAAGTATTATTATTCCCATTTTACAGGTAATGAAATAGCTTATTCTAATCAATGGACAAAGCCATTTATTTCATCTTTAAGCTGACCATATTCTTGATCCTTTATCTTCCTTCTTAACTTATATTTTTCCTTTGACTCGACCTCTTTAAGCAAAGGCATTACTTTTTTCATAACTGTAATGAAAAGAGGTCTAATCTTAGAGTCAAGACAGCTGACCCTAGCTCTGACGCTCACTTGTGTGAGCCTTGACAAGTGACCTCTCTACAAATCTCAGTTTGATCATTTGTAAAATAAATCCTTGCAGTGCCTGTATTACAGGACCATGAGGAAAACATTCTGTAAAACTCTTAAAGCACTACAGAGATATTTACCTATTGAGACAACTGCCCCCATGGGATACATCACTGCTAAGACTCTATCTTTCATCATATTGATTTAATTTTTTTTAAAGTGATGGTGGGAGGCATAAATGGAGTAAATAGGAGGGGAAAAGAAAATATCATTTTGCTAAAAAAATGCATATATGTTGGATTTCAGGGATTATTAAGAGGAACACTGGTAAATTTATGTTGCAAATATAACAGAGAGGGACATTCAAAGGAAACTGGTGATGAGATTACATATCACTGACTTTATCAGAACACAGTGGCAGTGTTGAGAAAGAGGAATTTTAGGAAGGGAAACCTGATTAGAGAGGCAGCAATGTGTACTAGAAAGACATACAGACCAGAAGTCAGAAAACTTTAGACTTTCTCCTTCTTGTTTCTCTACTCGCTAGCCATATAATCTTGGGCAAATCACTTAACTTATGGATCCCAATTTCCTCATCTCCGAAATGAAGATTAAAAAGATCTGCTTTGTCTCCCTGGCATTAAGTATCAAATCAGAGAAGGTTCAGGAATGCTTTAAAAAACTGTATGTTGCTATATAAATGTAAGGTATTATAATCAAGAATACATGCAATGACTTCTAGGGCTGTATCCCAAAGACATCACACAAATGAGAAAAGGACCCACATGTGCAAAAACATTTATAGCAGCTCTTTTTGTGGTGGCAAAGAATTGGAAATTGAGAGGATGCCCATCAATTGAGGAATGGCTGAACAAGTTGCGGCATATGAATGTAATGGAATACTATTGTGCTACAAGAAATGATGAGCAGGTAGACTTCAGAAAAACCTGGAAAGACTTGTATGGACTGATGCTGAGTGAAGTGAGCAGAACCAGAAGAAAGTTGTATACAGTAACAGCCATGCCGTGCAATGACTAATGTTGATAGACTTAGACCTTCTCAGCAATGCAAGGATCTGAGACATGTCCAAAGGTCTCATGATGGAAAATGCTATTCACATCCAAAGAAAGAACTATGGAGTTTGAATGCAGATCGAAGTATACTATTTGCTATTTTTTTCTTCCGTTTTGCTTTGTTTTCTCTTTCTTGTGGTTCCTCCTATTGGTTCTAATTCTTCCTTACAACATCATCAATGTGAAAATATATATAATAAGAATGTATATGTATAGCCTATATCAGATTGTGTGCCGTCTTGGGGAGGGAGGTGAAGAGGGAAGGGGGAGAAAAACTTAAAACTCAAATGCTTATGGAAGTGATTGTTGATAAATTAAAATAAATTAATAAAAAAAAGAAAAGTGAAAAACAAGAAAAAAAATATGTGCAATGAGATGCCTTTCAAAAAAATACATGCTGAACAAAAGGGTGTATGGTGAGACTAAGGGATGATAATAATAATAATAATAATAATAATAACAATAACAATAATTGCTAGTATTTATATAGCACTTTAAAGTGTGCAAAAACACTTTTTGTATCCTCCCAACAATCTTGTGAGATATGTGCTATTATTATCCCTATTTTACAAATGAGGAAATTGAGGTAGATAGAAATTAAGTGACTTGCCCAGGGCCACACATAATAAGTGTCTGAGGCAGGAATTCAGATCTTTTAGACTCTAAGTCCAACACTCTATCTATTGTGTCACCTAGCTGCCTGGATGTGACATAGGCATAGCCCAATGATACCCACAAAATGCTTAAAAACAAAGAAAAAATCCCAGCAGATGGGCTCCAGTGCTATGGTGGATTTATGGGAGCATATAGGCAAAAATTTCACAGGATGAAAAACTGCATGAGTTTCCATCTGTACAACTAGAGGGTTGAGATGACTAGTCTAGTGAAGTATTACAGTAAAACATCCATCCATCTTCAAAACTCATTTTAACCAATAGCTTAAATTTCCTAGTCCCAGAACATTGCTCTGGCCCACACTGTTAAGTGGTTTCAAAATGGATGGATTTTGATTTCATCTTTTTTTTCTTCTTCTTCTTGTCCCTTCCTTTAAAGATATTAATGAACCATTTACTGAGGAGAGAAAGAAGTAAAGCAGGAACCTGGATAATTGAGAATTTTCTCCAGTACCAAAAAGCCTCCTTCTCATACCTTTGTTGCTATGGAAACTTTTCTCTTCTGCTACTTTCTGGAAAGGGAAGCAAGCCTATTTCTGAAACTAATGAATTCCTTATTCTAGGAAGCAAAGCAGTTACCCTTGAACTCCTCAAGTCACTTAAGCACTCGTTAACAAAAGCCACTAAAACATACAAAGAAAAAAATACAGTCAGTTCTTTCCCCCTTCCTGTCATCCCCACTGAATGGAGCATTTGTCTTAGGTGGGCACATTTAAGCCTTTATCTGGAAGCTAAATGTTCTAGGCTTTATCCTACATTAAGTCAGTGGAATTTTAATTGAGCATTCTAGAATGTTAGATCTCGAAGGGACCTTAGAGATCATCTCCAGGGTTGGGGAACCTATGGCCTTGAGGCTGCAGGTTCCTCACCCCTGACAAACTTTGGCATGATACAGATGAAGAAACTGAGGTCAGAAAGCAAGGGGTCACATAGAGTGAGGAGTAAAAAAACCTGGTTTTCAGAATCCTAGTCAAGCGCTCCAATATCATCTAATTTTTCTCATTCTGAGAGCTTTCAAGATAAGTCTACATTTAAGTAGCACAACATAAGTATGCAATAAGAATTTGCTGAATTACTGAATAAATGAATGAATGAACAGCCACTGCTAAGTGACACAAGGAGAGAACATCAAGGGATATAATGGCCCAGACTGAGTATGGGCTCTAAGGAACAAAAAACTCATTTGAATTAATTTTTAGGACCAAACATTTCAAATTAGACATACGCTGTTTGGTTCTGAATAGCTATTATACTCATCTGCTTGAAGAAATATGGATAAATGTGGAGGAAAGCAAAGGAAAAAAAGTTTATTTCTAAGCACCCACTGTGAAAAAATTAAGACTCTGAAATAGCATGGCGTACTGGAAAGAGGGCTGGCTTTGGAAACTGAAGGACCTGATCCTGAATCCCAGCTTGACCTACTTCCTCGCTGCATAACTTTAGGTAGGTCATATCACCACTTTCTGAAGTGGGTGGGTTGGGGGGGGCAGACTGGGAGTGGGTGGTAGTGGCCAGTTTCCTTACTTGTAAAAATGAGAGGGTCAGAGAAAAAGACTTCCGACGTCACTGACCTCCAAATCACTGATCCTCTTTAGCAGTTTAGAATAAGTATAAGATTGTAAAACAAAATTAGGTAAAGAGAAAAGCATCCATTCACCCTCCTCCCAACAACAGAGAAAGATCTTGGCATTTCTACTTCATGTATCTAGTCAGCTAGATTTATATGAAAGATATTGAATGCCCTGGGAAGAAACCTTTGTGAAGACAGTATTTTTTTTTCCCATCACTTAATTTTCACATTCAGCAATAAGCAACCTAACTTTGTACTAGGTCCACTCAACCTGTGGGTGACAGAAAGCTTTCTTGCAGCTGTTACCTCCTTGCTTACAAACAAGTTTTCAGGTTGTGACCTAAGCTATGTTTCATATGAAATAAACCTAGGAGGCATTCAGAGTCTTTTGAGAGCCAAGGCAAACTCTTACCGCATTTTTGTAGAAGAAATAGAGCACCATATTAGCAAGTCGGGAGTAGCACCAATGTCCATGAACAAGCAGAAGCTTCTCCAATTGTCGGAACCTCGGGACTGCAAAGTCACTTGCCATCACCGCCTTGAAAGAGAAAGAGTCAAAAGCAATACCGGATTATATAACTGAAAATCATATCTGCTGCATGTCTCCAACAAGGAAACTTCCCAGGACAAGCAGTAAAAAGTTTACATTTATTTGCCTTTTTTCTGGACCCGTGGTTTCATCCATGAAGGGATGCCCTTACAGAGCACACAGGCAACTTCTCTGAAACTTAATCTTAAAGTTGTCTGGGGCATTGACTGATTAGGTGACTTGAGCAGGGTTACCCAGTCAATGTTTGTCACACTCAGAATCCAAGGCAGCTGTCTGGCTACTATTGAACACTGCCTCTACCCAAGAGAAGACCTCCTTTTTTTTGACATGAATGCAAATCTAATTACTAAAAGTTTATTTTTCTACTACTCCTGCTAACATGTCCTTATTAGTGAATTACTTTAGAACAAGGATGCATAGAGAAAAGGTGAATTCTAACCACTGTATTGTCTAAAATTGTGTGACAAATGAAAAACACATTCCTGCAATAGTCAAATAAAACCTGACACAAATATTAAGAAAAATAAAGAAATACACAATAAAGAATTTTTAAAGAACTGCTTTGTTCATACATGAAAATGCTGGCTATAGTACAAGGAAGAAAAACATTATTTTTAGGGTCTTAGTTCCTCTAAGGTACCAAATACATCTAAAAGAGGCAAATTTGGGGTTCAGGGTATTCTATTACTTTGATATATCTAGTTGTTCTCTTGAAATAAGAAGTAAAACATATCTTTCCTATATGAAGATGACTCCTTTCTCATGGGTAAAATATGCCCTTCAAGTTGATTTTTAAAATTTCTTTTTTTTATTTTTAGGCAATTGGGGTCACTCAGCTAGTAAGTGACAAGTAGTTTGGTCTGAGGCCAAATTTGGACTCAGGTCCTCCTGACTTCAGGGCTGGTGCTCTATCCACTGAGCCACATAGCTGCCCCAAGGTGATTTTTTAATAGTGGTGATGGGTTCACATAGTTACAAAATCTCAGCACCAGAAGGGAACTTTGAGATCATTTAATAACCAGGAGTTTTTAATATAAGGTCTGTCAATTTCTTAAATAAAAAAAAAAGTAACTATTTCAGCACAATTGATTTCCTTTGTAATCATGTGTATCTTACTTTATGTATTTAAAAACATTCTGACAAGGGGCCTGTGATAAAAAATTTTAAAAAATAAAGGTTAATTAACTGATTAATCCAATTCCCTCATTTAAAGATGAGGAAATCATGTACCCAAGGTCACAAAGTCAACTTGTGGCCAAGGTGGGAATAGAGCACAGGCCTCTGGATTCCCAGTCAACTGATATCTCCTGTGACTGAATGTCATGCACTATCCAGGCATTCATTTGGATGTAGGCTTGCATTCCAGCTGCATGACGCTGACTTCTGTTTGAAGCTAACATTTTAATTAGTAAAAAACACTTCACGGTAATATCATATCCTAAACAACCAGCTAACTGATGCTGATAAAACGGGGTACTGTATTTCCTTATTCTGCAACAAATAAGAGGGATCCTCTACTGTCCAAATTTCTTCCATATGCCTAATATGATGAATTTCTTTGCTTGAATAACAAACAAAATAGAAAAAAAAAGGTAGGAAAAACTTTCTAGTAATCCTTATAGGGCTACAGCACCATGGAAAGCCAATTTAAATTTTTATATTTTAACTGATTCTATTATCTTCAACTAGTGTCCAAGGGAAAGTGAGAATAAAAGAGAATAAAAAAATTGTTGTCTGATCCACCCCACAAGGTCTGTTTTCATTCTCATCTTGCCTATACCTTCTCGACAGCTGTAGGTACCATAGAAAAGTTTGGTTATACAGTTTTCAAGGTAGGTATTGCATATACTTTTTCAGTCAAAGTAAAGTTACATTGACATTTTCAAACTCAGTCAAAAGTGAAAAAGTTTAAAAATAACCTGAAAGTCTAAACTTTGAATATTTGAGAATCTTCTCATGATGGTGCTGCTGAGTGGTGGGAAATGCTACTGACTTATGCTATCCAGAGCAATAGCCAATGGAGAGGTTCATCTCTGGTTTCTGTACACTACAGTCAGTTCTCTAAGATGGTAAACAGTTCAAAATCTGAGAGAGCACACAAAGTTATAATAACCTCCTTTTAGGATTTACTGTAGTGTGTTTGCTTTCCTGCTCATGGTTTTCTTTTTTTCCCCCCAGTCTCCATTAAATGTAATCTGACTTCCCTGAGGACAAATCAACAGATAGCAAAAGGTCAGGTTGCGGCCTGGCTTTTGGCAGGAGGAAGCTGTCCTAGGACCAAGAATTTCCTAGATAATAATCCACACGTGGAGCTAGTGTAATGTGGTGGACTCTCAGGAGATTGGATTCAGGCTCTGCTACTAACCGCCTGACAATCTCAGGTAAATTATTTGAGCTCTAAGTGTATTGGTTTCTTTGTCTGTCAGTCAGCCAGTCGGGCACTTATTAAGCACCTACTATGTGCTAGGCATTGCTAAACATGGAATACAAAGAAAGGCAAAACAATCCCCTCCATAAACAAAAATTAGGAGTCCTTGAACTCTAGAAGCTCACATTCTAATGGGGAGAAAACATGCCAACAATTACGTCCACATACACACACACACACACACACACACACAGACACACACATTACATGAATACATATACAAACACACCAGAAACTGGGGATAGTCTCAGAGGGAAGGCACTAAGATTAAGAAGGAAAGACTTCTTGCAAAAGATGGGACTTTAGCTGAGACTTGAAGGAAGCTAGAAGGTGGAGATGAAAAGGACGTGTTCTAGACACTGCAGACGAAAAAGGTCAGAATCAGGAAATGTAGTGTCTTGTTCAATGAACAGCAAGAAAACCAGTGTCACTGCATGACAGTGTATGGGAAGGAAGTAAGGTGTAACATGACTCTTGAAAGGTAGGAAAAGTACAGGTTATGAAGAACTTTGAAAGTCAAACAGGGGGTTTTATATTTGATCCTGAAGGTAATGGTCAGAACTACACTTTATGAGGGCAGCTAGGCAGCTCAGTGGATATAGCACTGGGCCTAGAGTCAGAAGACCTGAGTATAAATCCAGTCTCAGCCATTTGCTAGCTGTATGACCCTGGACAAGTCACTTAACTCCATTGCCTAGGGGTCCCCCCTCCCCCAGACCCACCAAAAAAATGAAGGATTTGGCCTGGATGACCTCAATGGTCCCTTCCAGCTCTATCATATTATGATTCTATGAGCCCATTATAATTGAGGACAATGAAATCAGGCAATCTTTTAGGTCAAACAAATTCTTACATAAGTCAAAGTGGCAAGTAGCTCTCTTTGTATGTCACATTCAGTCACAGAAGAGATCATTTTTTTCACACCTCTACTCTGATCCCAGGAATGCTTAATACACTTTCAAAGGAAGAGCCATAATTCAGAGAGAAAGCCTTCCCTTAGAATAGTCCACTATATAATAACACACACAGATGTAGGTAGCTTTACTTTTTTATATGATAGGGTTGGGAACTGGGCCTGTGATTTTCATTGGTATGTCAAACTACCAGATGAGGAAATCACCCTTCCCAATACAGGTCAGCACTTTTCCTGTAACTTAATGGTCTTTCTTTTTTTTTTTAAAGGCAAGTGGGATTAAGTGACTTGCCCGGGATCACACAGCTAGGAAGTATCAAGTGTTTGGTCTGAGGCTGGATTTGAACTCTGGTCCTCCTGACTTCAGCGCCGGTCTTCTATCCGCTGCGCCACCTACCTACCCTGGTAAGTCAATAGTCTTAACAGAGTTGCTTAGTGCTGAGAAGGTAGGTGACTTGTTCAGGGTCACATAGCCAGTCAGAGGTGGGATTTGAACCCAGGACTTTCTGACCTGAAATTACTTTACCTAATATGCCTTCCTGTTTCTCATGTACTTTTGTATATTTATGGAAAATATACAAATCGGAGGATTAACTATGTCAGAACTTTCTATTTCTTACCTCTCATAGCCTAAGTCAGTTTAATTGCATGAGGGGGCTGTAAACTTGTTTATCTGAAAAGCAATGCAAATTGTCATTTCATCTCATCTGGACAAAGTCCAATTGGAGAAGCCTATAGGATTCTTTCAATGGATTCTTCAATTGGTCACTGTTAAGAAGCAGCCTTTTCAGAACGAAAGCCCCATGGACAATCCCTTGATTAATTGTTTCCCTAGAGATACTTGTTAAAGATATTACCTGCATGCCTTCCTGACCAGAGATTCCCACACCAACATCAGCTACTTGGATCATGCTGACGTCATTGGCTCCATCACCTGGAAATAAATGAAGGTCAGAACTATTTGAATCTAAATCTGGTTGTGAAAGTAAATACACAAAGAGGTCCTATACTTTAGAGCATTTCTCTTCCTGGATGATATAAAGGCTTCTTTCCAAGGTTAACACTACATGGATGGGAGAGGCAGCATTTCTTTGCAGATGATAAATGCTCTATCTGGTCTGGTACACCTTCAGGGGATGGCATGAAAACACTATTATACCATGGCTTTGTCTTAAGTATTATCAGACCTAAGTGGCCTTAAGAATATCAAAGAGTATGCCTTGGGTTGTTTCTGTTAGCAACTTGCTAGAAATTTGTTTAATCCCTTAGAAATAAAAGTAAAACTTCAAATAAGTTGTTTATAGCCTGTTGGAACTGGGAGGGATCTTAAAAGTTCAACCTCCTCATTCTAGACAGGGAAACCCATGGTTTAGAGATTTAAACTGCTTAACTTGGGGCCAACACAGCTAGTTGAACAGCAAAGGCAAGTCTTGAATCATAGATTCTTAGAGAAAGAATGGACCTTACAGGTCATCTATTCTAACTCAACCTTTGTTGCTGTTAAGTCATTTTTCAGTTGTGTCTTGACTCTTGATGACCCCATTATTTTGGCAGGGTTTTCTTGGCCAAGATACTGCAGTGGTTTGCTATTTCCTTCTCCAGATCATTTTACAGATGAGGAAACTGAGGCACAGAGGATTAAGTGACTTGCCCAGGATCACACAGCCAATACATGTCTGAGGCCAGATTTGAACTTGGCAAGATGAGTTTTCCCAACTTCATTGTGCCATACAGCTGCCCATCAAACTAAACCTATCATTCAAGAATCCCTTTTGTATCCTCTCTAAGGAGCTGATCATCCAGCCTACTGGAAGACATCCAAAAACAGATACCCAGGAGCAGCTAGGTGGCACAGTGGATAGAGCGCCAGTCTTGGATTCAGGAGGACCTGAGTTCAAATCTGGCCTCACACACATAGCACTTACTAGCTGTGTGACCCTGGGCAAGTCACTTAACCCCACTGCTTAGCCATCCCCCTCCCCAAAGAAAAGATACCCTACTACTCTGAGATAGTACATTCTAGTTATCTAAATGTCTTTTTTTTTAACTTTGGGTGAGAATCTGTCACACTATCCCTTTCATTCACTCATCCTTGTTTTGCCATTTGCAGCAACAGAATTAAGTCTATTCTTTCTTCCATATGACAGATTTTAATGTATCTGAAGGCATTCATCACATCTCCTTTAAGTCTTTTCTTCACCAAATGAAACATGTCCCATTTCCTCATTATGCTTCACATGACATTATTTCTAGACTCTCTACTATCCTTGTAAGTCTCGGACACTCTAGCTTATTGCATCTCTTAAAACATTGCAGCCATGATCGAACACACAACAGTACAAACGTGGTAAGACCAAGACAGGATCCATCAGGGCTATTATGTCTGTTGATCTGGACCTCATGTGTCAGTGCAGACAGCATGGTATGGTAGGAAAAGTTCTAGATTTTGAACCCTTTTAAAATCAATACTTCTAAATGCATAATATAAAATACAGAGGAAAACATTTTATTGAAATAGTTATCAAAATATTTCTTAAACGGTTCACAAACCCTTAAGTTAAGATACTCTGATTTAGTTTAATCCTCTCATTACACAGATGAGAAAACTGAGAACCAGGGAAGTTAATGGGTTGATCAATGAATTATGGTTTAGTGTTAGAATTCTCAGAAAATTTACAGGTCTTTGCATTCTCTAGAAAGCACTTTAAGTGGGGTGACAGGGACAACTATCTACCAGATTTCTCTTCCTCTTTCTCTCCACCCTTCCCTATACGTTAAGCTAGTTTTACTCCCCCCAAAATAACAAAACTATCCCCAGGACTTAATTGGCTTAGTGACTAAGGCTTAAGTTGTGCCATCTTTGAAACAGCTTTCTGGTGGTCTCTGGCCTTATAGGCCCACCCACATTGAGTCTGGGCTCTTCAGACTTGGCGGCTGTCTCAAAAATTGGAAAGAGTCACCGTACCATACCCTGTTGACCAGATGGTTTCCATATGGAGGCAAGCTATCCAAATTAAGTGCTGCAGCATTGAACAGCCTTTCTATGCTGTGGCTAAGTAAAACCTCCTTTTCTTAACTGTTGAATGACCCATGGATGTCTCTCCTTTTGTTCAAAAATGAAACTTTAACAGAGGATGAGCATGAGTCAGGCTCAAAGATAGCAAGTGACTCAGACAAAGTCACACAATTACTAAGTAGCAGAACCAGGAGTGGCAGGCAAGTCTTCCAAATCCATCTGAATAGTCACAGAAGATAGGGAGGGGGAGTGGAGAACTTCCATCACAATCTTTCTAGTGTGACAGAACCAGCCAGAGCTTGTGTTCCATGAGCACAGCTCTGAGAGCTCCCTCCGTGGTCCCATGGTGGGTCACCTCCATGGTACCAAGGGACAGCTGGTAAAATTAGTGAAGGCTGTTGCTATCAAGAGAAGACAAAGGAACTTTTCTGAAATGTTTGCTTAGGGGTTCAAAAGACAAATTTCCTCTATTACACATGGTTATCATTGGGTTCCCACTCTGTAGTATTCCTGTAGCTATTACTATATCCACTTAAAGTTACTATCAAAGTGCTGCTTTTTCCTTTTAAAAGTCTTAGCCCCAGGGGCAGCAAGGTGGCACAGTGGATAGAGCACCAGCCCTGGAGTCAGGAGGACCTGAGTTCAAATCCGGTCTCAGACCAGACACTTGACACTTACTAGCTGTGTGACCCTGGGCAAGTCACTTAACCCCCAACTGCCTCACACATACACACACACATACAAAAACTAACCAAAAAAAACAAAACAAAAAAACTCAAGGGGCAGCTAGGTGGCAAAGTGGATAGAGCACTGGCCCTGGAGTCAGGAGGACCTGAGTTAAAATCTGGCCTCAGACACTTGACATTTACTAGCTGTATGACCCTAGGCAAGTCACTTAACCCCACTGCCCAACCAAAAAAAAGAAAAGAAAAGTCTTGTCCCTTAGTGGTCATAGTCCTGACCATACTGGGTAGGCAAAAGCAATAATATATTCTTTAACCTAAGAAATCACAGGGTCAGTACTCAAAAAAAATACTCCTTTTGTAAGAACACGTTAATAGTCTGAAGGGGTGATAATGCTAATTATGCAGGTACAGGTTTTTCCACCCTGATTTATTTCTAATATTTTGCAAAGAGTATGACAGGTTCTGTGCTTATAAGTGATCAGTGAAGATACTATATTTTCAACCTCAAGATTTCTTTCAAGTATGACTCATATCACTATGGAGACCAGCTTGTTTGATCCCTTAGAAAGCATCTTTTCCCACATGAAACTTTCTTTTGCTAAAAAAAAAAAGTATCACTAAATGTTGAGATGAAAGTTTAGAGTTGAAAGATATCTTAGTATATTTCCTTTATTTTACAGATGAAGAAACTGAAACCCAAAAAGTGAAGTGACTTGCCCAACTTCACAGAGGTAGCAGTGAATGGAGCCAGAATTGGAGTTCAGGTTCTCTGACTCCAAATACAGCCCTATATTCACTAGATGATTCTTCTTTCCTGCTGAATTTCTGAGGTTCCACCTCCGGAGACCATTCCCTATTTCCTAGCTATCTACTTGCCAGCTACTTTGCCCTCAACCAGCGACCATGACGTGGAGGCTTTAATGTTTCTGGGTGAGTTCCTTTCCTGGTCTGTGACTTCTTAATATTAGAGAGTAAGGTTCTTGAGGGCAAGGACTAGTATACAGAGTAAATGCTTGGCAATTTTTTTTTTGATCAATTCATTGAGATTTAGAAGTTACAAGTTATGGACAAAGATAAGATTTCGCCTCACGTAAGGCACACTGGAATGTTTTAGAGTGTAGCTCATCTCATCTCAAATTAATTGAGATAAAATTTCACCTTTGGATTAATAATGTATCTCCCAAAAGGCAAATTTCCTTAGGCGCAATCATATCTTGATGCTAATAAGCTCAAACAGATGCTGTCCTCCCAACAACTTTAAATTTGACATTCTGGAGAGAATGGACCTTATAAAAGGGGGAGAAGGATGGAGGAATATTTTGAAGCATCTGGTTGAGGTGGTGGGGAAGAACTGACAATCAGAAAGGAAAGGCTGCCAGAGAGTAACAGAGTCTGGATACTTGGGGGTAAGGAGGGCAATAGAGGCCCAAAAGATTAGAGGATACAAAAGTGTAGCACAGCAACTTGGCCATTTCCTGATTTTGCTTGGTCTTATGCAAAGATAAGGAAACACTCTCTGAGAGATAAAGTGACTTAGTTGAGGTCATACAGGCAATAAGTAACAATGCCACTTACAGATACCTTATTTATGGTATTGACTATCTGCCTTGACTTGGTAATGGGTAGCTAGGTGACGAAATGGATAGAGGACTGGACCTAGAGTCAGAAAGACTTAATTCAAATGTATCCTTAGACAATTAACACTTAACTTAGCTGTGTGATCTTGGGCAAGTCACTTAGGTTCTGTCAGCCTCAGTTTATTCATATGTAAAATGGGGATAATAATTGCACCTTCCTCCCCAGGTTGGAGTAAGAAAAAACTGAGATATTTGTAAAACACTCTGAAAGCATTTTTAAATGCTAATACCATTACTGCCATCCTCTAAAGTATGGGGCAAGTTCTACATTCTATTTTATTACTGACATATTAACATATGCCAATAGCTATTGATACTACATTTTATATATTTTATGTGTTTGAAATCCTACCTGGATCCCTTGATCATGGAATAGAGGTTCCCTTGAATTGATGAGGGCTAAAGCCATGAACACTGAACTCAAGTGGGTGTGATTAAGGCTCTGAATATGAGTGAGTGGATCCAACCTAGGCCTTTTGGACTATTGTTTGAACAACATTCTTGCTAATTGCAGAGAACTATATGACTAAAGGCTTGGCCACCTTGCAATGAACATTTTACTACAGCAACCCATAATGATTTTCTTCTAAGGTGTGGAAAGGTTGGGAGCTACCTCAATAGAAGAGTTACCTACAATACAAAATACTGGTCCACAGAAGTGCTGAAGAAGACATGCATTTTCTCTTTGCTACTCATCATACCCTCTGGCAATTCTCTTTGTATTAGACATAATTTTAAAATAAATTAGGAAGTTTTTTCTTAATCCAGGGAGATTTGCTTGTGGCATGGAATAAAGAACAAAAATGTTACTTTGAAATAAGACTTTGAAAAAGGGCTATGTAAGTCTACACCAGGTGGACCCGTCCATTATTCATTCCGCCTACTGTTCATACTTGCCTATTGCCAAGGTCATGGCTTTCAGTTTGTTTCTGACCAGCTTTACCACCATGCTCTTTTGTAATGGAGTAGATCGACAGCACAGGACTGAACGGCATCTCCTAGCTAGGGAAAGAAATTTGTCTTCCAAGGTTTTGTCCAGTGCATATGCCAGAGTTTTCCCATCGATCACGAGGCCTAAGTTGGGGCATGTGGCAGCAGATGGGGAAGGTGGGTGGAGAGAAGCCACCCCAACGTTCACCTTTCCAAGAGATTTCTTCACTTCACTGTCTGAAAATTTTGACTCCACATAGTATAAACACTGTTCCAATAAAGCAGCACATGTTTCCTGAAACAAAATAAACAAAAACCAAAACAAAAATGAACACCAAAAACAAAACAGCAAGAGGACCTAAAGAAAAACTTAGCCATCATGAGTTCACCCAATAGATATATTAAATTTCTTAGAACAAATTTTGATTTGGAATGAAACTTGATTTAAGAACTTTCAGAAAATAAGATAAAACTGTCCCTTTACCATATAAGAATCTAAACCAGTTATTTATATTATAGTAATAGATACTGCAATTTTTCACTGTGGGAAATCTCATAATTCAATTCAGTCAACATTAGTAAATCCCTAGTCTATGTAGAGGTGGGTGGGATACAAAAATTAAATAGGATATGGGCCATTTTATGATAGAGCTTATGATACGGTTTGGTTGGAGGGGAGGGGAAAAGAAAAGTTAAAATATATGAATAAGTATTATATATAATGAAAAATCTAAGTGAATGAGAAGTTCAAGTGTTCTACGCTGACTGAAAGAACAAAGAGAACTATTGGTGGGAGGTAAGTCAGGGAAGGTTTCATGAAGGAGGAGTCATTTTAACTGAATCTCAAAGGATAAGTATGAATTCAGCAGCTGAAATTGAGAGGGAGGGGAATTTCTCAGACTTTGGGGATCATATGAGCAAAGGTAGGATAGCAAGGGAGCCCAGGAAGTAATTTGGTTTGACTGCATTTATGAGATGGGGCTGGAGAGGTAAAAGGTGGTACCATGTTGGACAGTGACCTGAATGGGAAGCTAAGGATCTTAGTTGTTATTTAGTCAGTAATGGGGAGTCTAGAGCACAGGGGCAACATAACTAGATCTGTACATAAGGAGATTAATCTGGCAATGATACCAGTAAGTCACTTGCATAACATGTTAGAGAAGCCCAGGAAATAATTCTTTGTATTTCTTTGATGCCTTCCTCTTGATTTCTTTGGAAAACTAGAAGTATCTCAGACTTAGTGCAAAGCACTTGAAAAAGCCACTATATTCAGCTTCTAAAAAAGACCTATTTTGAGAATTCCTTCTAAACCGATGCCACTATGAAAAAGGACTCAGTGAGACCTTTTAAGGCTTTTTAATTGGCCTAACCCTTCCTAAACTGCTGTATCTGCTTTCAGTCAATGGCCTGTTGGGAAATGTACCTAATCATATCCAATGCATTCAAGTACTGGAAAGAAGGAAGGAAAGAAGCATTTATTAAGCACCTACTATATGCCAGGCACTGCTTTACAAATATTATTTCATTTGTTCCTCATGACAACCCTGTGAGGTAGGGGTTATTAGCCCTCTTTTACAGATGAGAAAATTGAGGGAAACAAGAGATTAAGTGACTTGCCCAGTGTTACACAACCAGTAAGTATCTGAGGTGGGATTTGAACTCAGTTATAAGTTAATAAGCATTTATTAATCACCTACTATGTAGTAGGTCCCGTGCTACTTGCTTTACAAATATTATTTTGTTTCTCACAACAACCCCATGAGGCAGGGGCTATCACCCCTCTTTTACAGATGAGGAAATTGAGACAAATAGCGATTAAGCAACTTGCTTCGGGTTACATAGCTAGTGTCTTAGGTGGGATTTGAACTCGGTTCTTCCTGACTTCAGGTCCAGTGCTCTATTCATTGTGCCACCTAGCTTCCTAGAAGATTGGGGAAGAGACAATGAGGAGAAACTTACATAAGATGCAGTTCCATAAACAAAGGGTTGGGGGACAGAACTTTTGAGTAAGGCCGCTAGTCTCCTACTGGACAGTAAGCTCCATGAGGGCAAGGACTGGGTCCTATACGTCTTTGTAACACCCACAGTGCTTCATACAATGCTCGGTACGTAGTAAATGCTCAAAGAGTACTGTGTGAATAAATGTAAACACATCTACTGGGAAGATTCTTCCTTGACTAAACTTAGGCATTAAAAAGTCATCCAAGGGTTCTGGTTTGTTCACTTCTACAATACCTTTTGCCTGCCTTCCTTTGTTTTTCTGGGTAGGTGTGACTCATCATTAAATCCTATGCTGCTATTTTCTCGGATTACATGCCAAGGAATAGCAAGGCACATTCTGCATTCACAAAGCCCAGATAGCAATGCTATTGGTTCAAAAGTTTGAGCGACACTGCACTAGCAATGGATGGCATGACAAACAACTCCAACCGACCCAGAAGAGGAGCACCTAAGAAGGAAGCTTGCGGGTGGGAGGGAGAAAAGCAACCATACCTTTTCATCATGGCTGCCAAATTCATCCCCTATCTGAGTTCTCCCTTCGTGCTCTTGGGAGACTGTGGATACCAGGTTGTCACCACGATGTTACATCAGTTGGAGTCAATGCCTTACAAAAATCTGCCTACCTGTGATTCAGCATTCAGAGTAATGATTTCTTCATCGTGGTCAAGCAGTTTGCAGGCATAGGCAATATTAACGGCTGTTTCTTGTTTGTCCCCAGTGAGAACCCATATCTGCAGTCCAGCCTGTCGCAAGTTAGCAATAGTTTCTGGGACGCCATCCTGTAAGCGATCTTCGATGCCCGTTGCCCCTAAAGACAAAAGTCAGTGAATAGCATCCCCCCATGCCACCCCTGGATGTTAAAAATGGCCTGTGAACCTTTGTTTAGAATAAATATCGATCTCCCATGAGAATGACATCTTGGCTAGCCTCTTTCAACTTTGAACCTGAAGCTGGCCATTGGTTTTTTTTTTAATTTCTATTATCAAGATGACAGGGAGCTTAATTTTTTGATGGCAACTTTGCTGTGACTCATCATTAGGGTACAATAGCCAGGGCTTTAAATAGCATTCAAAATTAGATACAGCTGGGAATAACTGGAATTATTAACAATTCAGAGAACCTTAATTCTCTGTATTTGCAACATAGTACCTCGAACCATTTTTTTTTGACTCACATTATAATTATGTGTATTTAGTGGGAATGATAATATCTTCCTCCTCTGCTCCACACTGAGGGATGAAGAAGTTAAAAAAAAAAAGAAATAATGCCTTTCATTTAACAAATTTCTGGTGAAAGAGTAAAAAATCCCCAAGGCTTCTCCCCTCAGGGCTTAACATTGACTATTTAAGCAGACTGCTGTAAGCACATAATTTCCTGACAGAAAATCATTCTTAGTGTGCTTAAAGTTGATACTGACAAATAAAATGAAAGATTAGCTTAATTTTCATTTATATTGCTTTTAGCATATTTTTTTAAAAAGATTAAAAAATGTTTTTATTGTTCTGTCATGTAATTGTGTCCAACCCTATTTGGGGTTTTCTTGGCAGAGATACTGGAATGGTTTGCCATTTTCTTTTTCAGCTCATTTTACGGATGAGGACACTGAGACAAAGAGGGTTAAGTGATTGCCCAGGGTCACACAGTCAGTGTCTAAGGCTGGATTTGAACTCATAAAGACCAACCTTCCTGATTCCAAGCCCAGTGCTCTTAAAATGGTATACTCATACAATGAAAAGCCACCTAGTTTAGTGAACCTACTAACAAAGTATAAGCTTCTCGTCCCAGCTTGGCCACAAACCAGGTAACCTCTCCGTGGTTCAGTTTTCTCACCTATAAAATGAAGGGGGTTGGACTGGATGACCCCTAAGGTGACTTCCAACTCTAAATGTCCACATATATGAATAAATAAATGCTTCATCATGGGGACAACTTTCTGTAGGGTCAACTAATTCAGCCCTTGAAATGTATAAGCTGCTTGACTGTGGGCCTACACACACTGAAATAACATGAGTTCTACCATTTTAATCCTTCCACTCTTTACCTATCAGTTGTCCTGAGTTTGAACCAACCATAGAAAATAACTGCATGTATAAATGGAGTTATGGAAGTTATGATGTTAGTTTCAAAATGAAATATGGCTGAAGATAAATAGTAAATCCAGGGGAACAGAGCTCTTAGAATTGTCTAAAGCAAAATGCCCTTCTTCAGTTTTCCAAGGCAGCTTGCTCAGATGATTTATGACACTTTGGGTAAATGCCATCCTCTTTATAGCATGATCCTTGGGAGTGCCAGACATTTAGAGCATTATGGCAAGGGTAGTTAGTGAGACTTCAGAGCCAAGTTAGTGCCCCTATATATCACTGGGAGACAGACGCCAGGCAGCTATTAATGAGAGAAAAGAAGGATTTCACCAGCTGAAGATTTTCGAATGATGCTGATGGAAATTAACCAGAATGTGGAAAGTAAGTAGAATGGCACCCTGTGAATGAAAGTTCTTGACCTCCACCCGAGTACCAAAACTCCATCCCCTAAGTAGTTGGGAAAGAAAATTCCAGAGCAAGGACAATCTCTTCTTTGTATTCCCAACACTTAGCACAGTGCCTGGCACACTGTAGGTGCTTAACAAATGCTAGTGTACCGACTGTTGTCCCCCTTCCCGGCAAAAGTCAATCCTCTCTTGCTGTTCTCAGTGGCAATTTAATTCAAACGCTAAAATGAAAAGAAGACAACATGGTACAGTGAAAAGATAACATGGTCTAGAGTCAGAGAACCTGGGTTTGAATCCTTCTTCTGTTCATGATGTTTGTGAATTACGCCTCAGTTACCTAATATGTAAAATGAGTAAGTGGACAAGATGATCTCTAAGGTCCCTTCCAGCTCCAATCTACAAGGACATTCATTGATCAAAGGTTATTAACTTTTTTTGAGCTTCATGGCTCCCTTTGGCAGACTGGTGAGGCCCACAAATCCTATCTCAGAAGGGTGTTTGTATATGCGTGAAATACATACACAAGATTAAAAAGGATATCTATTATATTGAAATACTATTATCATAAAACTAATTTTAAAAGTTTACTGAGCCTAGGTTAAGAAGCCCTGAAATAAAGGAATGGTTATTGAAATGGAACATAGGAAACCACCTAGTCCAGTGCAGTAAATTCGAGTGAAAACAGGAGGCCATTAAACCATACACACGTGGAACCCCTGGAGGCCACATATTGATTTAATGTAATAAGTCAACATAATGTATTATGTATATATCATTGTATTTTTATTTATTTTGTTAAATATTTTCCCATTAAATTTTAATTTGGTTTGGGCTATACTCTGGAGCACTGCAGGCCACATGAAGCCCACAGGTCCCATATTTGCCCCTTCCTATCTAGTCTAAATCTTTCAATTTACAGATGAAGAAACTGAGGCCCAGAGAAGTTAAGGGATGTGACCAGCCAAGGTCAAAATGGTCATAAGGAGCAGAGCAGAGATTTAAACCAAGGTTCTCTGACTCTAGAGCCAGTGATCTTTCTGCTATATCATAGTGTCCTCCAAATAGGATCTTTGAAAGAAGTAACTGACTTCAACTAATAAAGACCATTCATATTTATGTTCTATACTGCTCAAAAGCAAAGTTAATTTAAAAAATATCTCCAAACCTCTAAACATATTAAATACACATGGCAAGATCTGGTTACAGAACATGCTATTTCTTCCCTCAGGTATAAACAAGGTGTGCTTCAGGTTAGAAAATGGCAAGGGGTGTTTCAGTCTGCTATGTAAACACACAGTATGAAGAGCCCAAATTTGTTTCATAGTGACCTGGAGGTCTTAAAGAGATAATTTAAGTTTTTATATGCTTAAGTTAATTCATACCTGGGGACTGTGGGGATAAGGTCTTTGAGAATTAAGTTTGAGAATCATTCAAACATTTCAGGCATGGTAAAACCCTACAATGATGCTGGTTCATAAAGAATAAGGAGGACACCTGAATTTCTGTATTAGAGAAAGAGAAATTATAAGACTGGTATCAGACACATAGCTTGCCACCTCTGGGACCAGATAAAACGTAATCAGGAAATAGGTAACAAAATAAAGGTACAACAAAACATAGATAATGCTAATATATGGTTTTCTAAAGGATCCTTATATATAGTTTAGTGTCCCCCTTTTCTATGAGTTTGACATCACTGATGGAAGCTTAAATCCAATTCATAGGTAAGTCAAGACATTACCCTCATGATGTCACTGGTCCTCTTCAAGAACCAAAAAGATGAACAACCCAGATGACATTTCACCATGTACATAAGTGGTATGATTTACCCCTTAGTATAACCAAGTCTTTATGATATATAGCACTTTATGATAGTTTTTCGCTCTGAGGTTTGATTTCATTCAAGAAATCTCTTATTAAGTGCCAATTACATACAGGGGATGCACATCAATCAGTAAGCATTTATTAAGCCTTTACTGTGTCCAAGAAACTGGATTAAGAGCCTGGAATATAAAGACAAAAGTGAAATAGTCCCTGCCCTCAAGGAACTTACATTCTAATGGCAGAGAATGGCATGTGCATGTGAGCATACTATGAAATGAATAAAAGGTGGTTTGGAGAGGAAGTTTAACAGTGGCTGAGGGGCCCAGGAGAGGCCTCACAAAGAACCTCAAGCTAAATCCTGGAGGAAACCAGAATTTCTAAGAGATGGTGCTAAGGAAGCAGTATGTCCCAGGCACAGTGGACAGCTAGCGCAAAGGAATGGAGATGAAGCAGCCAGCAGATTGGCTGGCTGGAATTCACTGTTCAAGGTGGGGAATAAAGTATATTAAGACTAGAAAGGTAGGAAGGGGACAGGTGTTGAACAGTTTTAAATATCCAACAGAGGCGTTTATATTTAATCCACTGACGTTTAATAGGGGTTAGGGGTAATGTGATTATGTTAAGTTTTAGGAAAATCACTTTAGCAGCTAGATGGAGGATTGTAGTGGGGAGAAACGTGAAGCAGAGAGACCAAAAGGAGGCCACTGCAATAACCCAGGAAAGACGAGATGAGGGTCTAAACTAGGGTGGTGACTGAGTGAGTAGAGAGGAAAGGACACATGCCAGAGGATGTTGTGGAGACAGAAACAACAAGATTTCTAAGGACAAAAACAAAACAGTCCTGGCCCCCAAGAAGCTTATATTCCACCAGAGTGAAATATAAGACCAGAGCACAGGTTCTTATATTTTTCTGTGTCATAGTCTCCATTAGCAGTCTGATGAAGCTTACAGACCTTTCTCTCCAAGTAATGTTTTTAAGTGAATAAAATAAAATATAAAGGATTGCAAAGGAAACTAATTATACTAAAATATTGACAATTTGTTTTTTAGGCAGTTGGGGTTAAAAGACTTGCCTAGGGTCACACAGCTAGTAAGTGTCAAGTGTTTGGTCTGAGGCCAGATTTGAACTCAGATCCTCCTGACTTTAGGGATGGCGCTCTATCCACTGCACCACCTAGCTGCCCCCTAAAAATTTTTTTAAAAAAGGGTTCACAGACCCCAGGTTAAGAACTCCTAATACAGATGAAAAAAATATAGCATAAGGAAAATTGAGGAGGAGGATTGACCTAAGTAGTGAGCATCAAGGAAAGTGTCACAGAGGATGTGACACCTGGGCTGAGCCCTGACAGAAGACAAGGATATTGAAAAGTGGAGGGTAGGAAGAATGTATCCCAATCATGGGGGATGGCCTTTGTAAATGAAGAGAGGCAGGAGATAAAGGAATGAGTCTAAAATTAGGGGGTTGGACTGATATCCTCTCAGACCCCTTCCAACCCTATATTCATGAACCTATAAGATGGTAAAGTGGTGGTCCATCCACAGAATAAAGGTTAAGATAATTCTGTATTTTACTTTACATTTTTTTTAGTGCTTTTTACTTGAATCATCTAGGTAAGAACCCAAGCAAAAGGCCTGTGAGTGAAAAAAATAATAAGCATGAGAATAATGCGCACCAGAGGAATGATGGGGAAAATGCATTCAGTCAAACTGGGCTTGACTTCTAGTCCAGTTCAGCTGGAATGAAGATATGAAGGCAAGTAGCACGATGTAAGACCAGAAATGAGGAAAGCACTTTGGAAGCCATAAAGCTGTCAAAATATTATTATTATCATCATTGTTGTTGTTGTTCAGTTGTTTTTCAGTCATGTCCAATTCTTTGTGACACCATTTGGGGTTTTCTTGGCAGAGACAACTAGAGTGGTTTGTTGTTTTCTTCTCCAGCTCATTTGACAGATGAGGAAACTGAGACAAACAGGGTTAAATGACTTGCTCAGGGTCAAACAGCTAGTAAGCATCTCAGGCCAGATGTGAACTCAAGATAAGTCTTCCTGACTCCAGGCCTGGTCGCCCCTTATTATCATTACTTAATGCTAATTTGAATATGAAAGGAAGTGCAGAAACATTTCAAAGTGAGTACCGACTAATCACCAAAGTTCACCTTCCTTTTACATTTCTGTGCAATGCAGTTTTCATGATGTTGCATGGAAGCCTGTCCTTTTTAACTGACAAAAGTTTGGGGTATAGAGGACAATTTAGAAACTCTTCCTGCTTCTTTTTGGTAGGGTACCATTTTCTCCCCATCTATAGAGAGCCATTTAAAGCATCTGCTCACAATGAAGCCTGTCCTTTTTAACTGACAAAAGTTTGGGGTATAGAGGACAATTTAGAAACTCTTCCTGCTTCTTTTGGTAGGGTACCATTTTCTCCCCATCTATGGAGAGCCATTTAAAGCATCTGCTTACAATACTGTGTAAGGAAAGACTTAAAGATAGGCCAGATGAGCTGACTGCTGACTGGGGTCATCTAGCTCCCTGCTCTGTGGTGTTAGAAAATAGCACGGCTGCCCCTCGGGCACCCCAGACCAATGCTCTCCCAGAGGTTTCTTTGAACAATCTCTGAATTATGGCTAACTCTGTTAGCGGCTGGAGCCATGTCAAATATAGCTCAGAAACTTATTTTCTTTAAAGCTTTTCTCTAAAAAGCCTTGTCACCATTAGATCCGGCTTTAAGCATATAGTTACCCAATAGGTGTAGATTGGTCTCCAGACGGATTGCAGACTGGAACAGCAGCTCATCCCGGTTCTCCAGTGAGGATTCTGCTTCCAAATGGCTTTGTAACCAGCAGGCATACTCTTCTTTACTTAGAACCTATTTGAAAAGGATGTTCAGAGACCATTTCAGACCCCAGGTGAGCATGACTGAAATACCATAAAATAAAATATGTAGGATTACAAAGGAAACTGATTATACCCATATATATATAATACACACATATATGTATATAAATATATTACAATTTGTATATATACATATATACATTGAGTATAGATATACATTTGTATATATGTGTATATGTATGTACGTGTGTGTGTGTGTGTGTGTGTGTGTGTGTGTGTGTGTGTGTGTGTGTAAAGGTCACAAACCCCAGGTTAAAAACTGATGTGAAAGAATAAGCATTGCATAAAGAAAATTGAGGAGGGGGAAATGGCCTCCCCTCCTTTTTTTTCAAGAACACCTCCCTCTTCTTTTTCCCACCCCAATGGCTGACTTGTCAGTAGAACTAAGGAGAATTTTGACCACTGTTGCCTTTCCTCCATAAATCTAGGCTGACTTACCTTCTTGGCAATACATAAGGTACGTAATCCATCTGCCGCATAGAAGTTCAGATAATTCTGAGTTTTACTTTGAATTTTTTTTTGGTGCTTTCCTCTTGAGTCATCTAGGTAAGAACAGGAGCAGAAGCCCGGTGAGCGAAAAATAACAAGCATGAGAAGAATGCACACTTTTTTTTTAAAGGCCTGTAAGCAGCGGCTTGACGCCTCCTGTGGCAAAAACCCTGAAAAGCATTCGACTGAGAAAACACCCCTCCAGAGCCACAGCTTGCATTGTTCACTTGTTTTTTTTCTCCTAACTACCTAGATGGGCATCAAAATCTATGCTAGAATTGCTCAATTTCTCTATAGGTTCTTGTCTAATATCTAAAACAGATGGAAGCCCTTTCATCCCTAGAGTCACATGAAAGAGCTCCTTTTTTAAAAAAGATTAGACTATACTTGTGAATAGTTTAATTTTTTAAATAATATTTTAATCATTGTTTGATTATTATTATTTACCATAATCCTGGGGTAGAGGGAGGAGGTATGAGATGAGCACCTTTCTGCAAATAACATTTCATATTCTATTATAATTTTTTTTTTGGTGAGGCAAACAGGGTTAAGTGACTTGCCCTAGGTCACACAGGTAGTAAGTGTCAAGTGTCTGAGGCCGCATTTGAACTCAGGTCCTTCTGACTCCAAGGCCAGAGCTCTATCCACTGCGCCACCTAGCTGCCCAATATTCTATTATTATTTACTGGGGCAGATAGGTGGTACAGTGGATAGAGTGCCATGCCTAGAGTCAGGAACCCTTCTCTTTCCAAATTCAAATCTGACTTCAAACATTTACTAGCTGTGTGACCCTGGGCAAGTCACTTCACCCTGTTTGCCTGTTTCCTTATCTATAAAAAGAGCTAGAGAAGGAAATGGTAAAACCATTCCAATATCTTTGCCAAGAAAACCCCAAATGAGGTCATGAAGAGTTGGACACATCTGAAACAACTGAACAACAAACTAAAATGCTTTGGTGCCACACAGCATGGCATAATGGAAAGAATGCTTGTGTTCAAATTCTGACTGCTGTTTACCAGCTGGGTGACCATAGGTGAGCCATTGTACTTTCCTCAGCCTCAGTTTGCTCATATGTACAATGGGGATAATAACAGTTTTGCTGGCAATATCGCAGGGCTGTTGTGAAGATCAAATGAGATAATGTTATACACACACACACATATATGTAACAATACACACACACCCACACATGCACATATATATGTAATAATATATGCAATCCTTTGTAAACCTGAAAGTGCTATATGAGTGTAACTAATTATCATTGTAACTTCTCCTGTTGGCTTGGAATCTTTCATGATCCTAACATATACATGGTAGACACCTTATACCACAATAAACAATGTGGAAGGTATGATCAAAGAGACCTATGACCTGAAGAAAAAGCAGGTAGGCCATTTATTGAGAGCAGGTTGACAAAAGACCACCATGTGATCCAACGGTCGTCATGTGATAGTGGGGGTTGTCCTCTCTGCTGGAAGGCAACCAAAATGATACGACTATGCTGGGGTCAAGGTACAGTGTGTCTAAGTGCAGTGGATCAGACCAATAGGAGCCAGGAAGGCTCTCCCACTGGTTGGCCACAAATAGTCCACATGAATGATGTACTGTAATTCATGTAATATCCCAGAAAACTCCCAGTAGGTTTGGGAAGCCCTGTGGAGGATTTATGGGAGGTCATGAACAAGAAGGACGTAGGATGATGTGTGGATAGGTCACATTCTATACCACTGGAGAATGAATGAATAATTATTATTAAGTGTTTACTCTATGCCAAGTACTTTGTTAAATGCCTGGAATTAAAAAAAAAAAGTGAGAGTTCCTTCAAGCTCTCAGTCTAATTGAGGAAGAAAATCAATATAAGAGAGTCAACTGAAGTATGGATGGAAAGATCCATAGGTTGGGGGGCAGCTAGGTGGCACAGTGGATAGAGCACTGGCCCTGGATTCAGGAGGACCTGAGTTCAAATCCAGTCTCAGACACATAACACTTACTAGCTGTGTGACCCTGGGCAAGTCACTTACCCCCATTGCCTAGCCAAATAAATAAATAAAATAAAATAAAATAAAATAAAATAAAATAAAATAAAATAAAGAAAGATCCATAGGTCCCAGGTAAAGGGCAGGGCAGATGACATGGCTCAGGAGTCCTTAGGGTTCACTCACTGGCAGGTAAGACAGCAGTGCCCTGGAAGAGTAGTTGGGTAGGGGGTAAGATCTGGAAGACCTCAGAAGGCAGAGCCAGAGCAGATAATATGGCCTGCCGGGCTACATATTATCAGAGGTATGGTAGTTGTCAACTCACTTTGGGAGCAGCCATGTCCATTTCACAAGGTGGTGGGCTTGAAGGGGACTGACTATCACCATTAGGAAGAGGACAGTAGAGCTTGGGTCTGAGTACAATGGGGATTCTGGATTCCTTCTCACAGTGGAAGTACCCACATTCATGATCGATCTCTCTCCCTCTCACACACCCACACCCACACCCACAAAAATCAACAGAAGTTAGATGTTAATAAGAGAGAAGTCCTAGTACAATCTCAGAAAAAAAAAACTTAGAAATTAAAGAGGAATGGGGAAGAGGTAAATGACATGATCTAAGGATATAGACTACAACCTCTTAACTTTTAAATTTAAATCATTTTGGTTATAATAAATATGAACCACGCTAAAGTCTTTATATAGGGTGTCCCAAAAGTCTTACTGCAGTTTTAAGCTTTAATAGTGATGTGACCCTGGGCTCCTCAAGGCTTAATGTACAGGCCCAGTGATACTGTTTTTCCTGTAAGTTTGGAAAGGTACACTGCCAGAAGATTTAGCCTTCTAGGGGATGATTATTTTTTCCCTGCCGATAACAACCCCATGAAGTCCAACTACATAGAGAGGTTACAATCTGTGTTGGTGATGGCAGCAGCCATACCAATGAATCATACATCTTTGAAGTATTGAGGTATAAATGTCAACATGTTTTATATCATTTTAATGACACCCTCAGTGTTGGCCTGATGGGAAACTGGAAAGAATGGATTCAAAGAAATGCCTAAAGAGCTTCTGCTGAAAATACCAGAAGCCAGGCATACATTTGAGTCAGAAATCTTATACCTAATGTTTTGATAAAAGACTCTCCAGTAGAAAGAACACTGGCTCCTTCAGAGGAAATCAGAAGTCAGCGGTTCAAATCCCACCTTTGATGCTTTAGTAAGTCACCTTCTATGAGCCTCAGGTTTCTTTGTGAAATGATGGAACTATACTCTATGGCCTTGAGATATATGATTCTATAAAACTACGGTGGCTTGGGTACTTTTCGCTTTAAAATTTAAAAAAAAAAAGCAGCTCCTAGAAACTACAGCTAGATTCCAATTTGTTCAAAAATGAATTCACATATATTTGAATTCGCACTATATGAAGCTATAATTGTGTAAAAATACGGTAACTGGTTCTAGCCCAATGGAAATATGTAGTACAAATTCAAATTACTTGACTACTTCTGGGGATTCGTTATGTGCACAAATCCGGGGGCTTCCCAAAGCATTCTGTAGCAGTCTTTTCTGATCCCCACCAGCAAACGAAAAGAAGATTCACATGAAAAGGTCATTTGTTTTTTCTGAAACGCAGCTAGAGGATCACCAGTTGGGGACCTTCTCTTCTTGACTTGATTGTGGGAGGAGTAACCGGAGATGCTGCTAACGTGTCCCACCAATCAGAGTGCTCACATTCTGCTCTGTGGTAGGAGTATTTCATTAGAATACTATTCAAGGAGTTTTTGGTAACTGGTCAAGGATAACTAGTTCTTAATTTTATGGGTCACTCTGGTTTACTGCAAAGTTAAAATGTCTTGCCATGATTTTCCTAAAATTCATTTAGCAAAAATTACACACTGCTTTCTAATTCCAGGAACCTTCAGCAATGGTAAGGCAACCACAAGGCCAGTACCTCAGTGGTGCACATGAAATATCTGTCACAAGGTAAATTTCTATTAATTTCTATTGGACGAATAATAAATGCTAGACAAGACTAGATATAGGAATTAGAGGTGAATTTGGCTTTTGTTCAAAATAAAATACAAAGGTTTCAAAATGTATAATTTCTGTTGTTTTTCATTCAGTTGATTATAAGAAACTCACCCTTCATTAAAACTGTTCAAATATTCTTTTACTAAAGGTATTAAGATGAAATTAATTTTTCTCTTTCAGTTCATTAAAAACACATAATTTTCTGTTCACAGTTAAAAGTATAATTATCATTCTCTGTATAAATCCAGAGAAAAAAAGGGAGGAGGTTGTACAATATGGGGGAGGGCCTACTAATGATTAAGAATAGCTGAAATCTTACAAAGAATTTTCCTCTATTAGGACAGACTAAACCACATTCCCCCAGGTATTTAAATTAATATGCAAAGAATGAGAAAACCTTGGCTTCTATTAGGAGCTGCCTTCAATTTTTCAGTTCTATCTTTGAAATATCAAATTAACCTTTCCCTGATAATAGTCACCTTCTGGGGACAAATATTTATATTTTGTGACTTTGAAATTAAGCATTTCCTATATTATAAACTCAGAGCTTTTCTCCATTCTCTCCCTCAAATGAACTAAATATTGCAATGCAGAGAATCATGCATGGGATATGTGATTTCAATGGAATAGGTGAGGAAACACAGGTGGGCAGCTTTTCTATAACTTAATGTCTCAGAGAGACTGCTAGGACACTCAGAAGTCAAATGACTTACCCAGGCCAGTATGTGTCAGAGGTGAGGCTTAAATCTAGGTCCTTTTGACTGAGGCCAGCTCTCTGTCAACTATACCAGGCTGCCTCTGCATCTGGAGAACAATTCTATTTATTCCACAAATTCCTAAAATTCATATTGTTTTGCGTGCTTCAACATGGTAAGGGTAAAGAAGATTTTCCCATGTAAACTATGTTTACAAGATAGAACCGAAGTGTCAAGCAATGGCAGATCTTATTTACACAGGTAAGTTCATACGCACAAGATACAATAACTGGTTTCACTAGCAATGGAGATCATGCTGAAGATGATTACATCACAACTGTTTTAGCCCTTTGGTATGGTCCATGTGTCTGTACCTACAGGGTATCATCCGATCCTCACAGCAGTCTCGTGAGGTTGGCAGACGCCACCAGGGATTATTATCCCATATTGTAGATGAAGAAACTAGGCTGGGAGAGAAAAGTGATTTGTTCTAGGTACTTAGGTCTTGATCTCTGCATTGCAGTCTGGCACTTCTTCTGCAGACACTGCCTGCCAGTAAGAACACCTTTCAGAAAGTCATTCTGGATTTTTAAAAATCTGAGTAAGGGTCATTTGGCCTGGAAAACATGGGTAATTATTTGAAAGATTCCTTTATATTTGCCACTTCTTTGTGTTGATTTAAGAACGTCTTAGAAACAATGTAAATTAATTCTAGTTTAAAATAAAACAATTTCATTTTGTCATACGTGTGTCTTTCCCCCTTTTTTTGCTCCAAACCTGTTATTTTATTGATGTAGAGTGAGGAAATGCCCCATACCAAGACAGTATAGCAACTGTTCTGCAGCTTAGTCTCGGAGCATTGCCTGAAGCTCTCAGGAGAGAAGGAAATAAGCACTTATGAAAACATCTACGGTATGCTGGGGCAGCTAGGTAGCACAGTGGATAGAATACCAAGCCTGGACTTAAGAAGACCTGAGTTCAAGGCTGACCTCAGAGACTTCTAGCTATGTGACCCTGGACAACTCACTTCACCCTGCTTGCCTCAGTTTCTTCATCTGTCAAATGAGCTGGAGAAAAAAATTAGCAAACCACCCTGGTCTCTGCCATGAAAACCCCAAATGGGGACTGAACAACAATTACTACTGTAATCCAGGCACTAGAATGCTCTGGAAATATCACGTCATTGGATTCTTCACAACAACCCCTAGAGGTAAATGCTATTATTATCCCCATTTTACAGTTAAGGAAACTGAGGCAGAGTATAAGTGACCTGCTCAAGGTCACACAGCTAGTAAGCATCAGAGGCTAAAACTGAACTCAAATCTGCTCCACTACAGGACCAGTGCTCTGTGCACTATAGCGCCCTCTATCTGCTCTGAGACACTGTTTTACAATATATCAGGATGACATAGAGCTGGTAAGGGCCTCAGAGGACATCTGGTCCTCCCTCCTCATTTTACAAATTAAGGCCCCATGGTTAAGTGACTTGCCCAAGGTCAAAAAGGTAGTAAGCAGCAAAGCAGTAATTCAGACTTGAATCCCCTAACCCAAAGTTCAATGACTTTGCTACTTCACCATAGGACTTGTTGCCCATGATCACAAGGCTAAGATATATCAAAGGCCAGACATGGGCAAAGGTTGCACTACCTCACAGGTCAGCCTGCTATCCATATGGCCATGTTGATTCTCTCAAAGATCCTATATGTGGGATTATAAAAACACCCACCTCCTACTGATGCTGCAAGGACCAATCGAGAAAATATTTGTAAAGCCTGGCACATAGTAGGCAGTGTAAAAATGCTCCCTATCTAACTTGTAAAACATCATAGTAACATAGTCACAAAAGGCATCCATTTCAAGAGAATTTTTTCTGATTTTCTGAATCTTTTGATCTGTGCTTTCCTATAATGTTGCTCTGATTTTTATACAGAGCTGTACAAGTGGGTCCACGTCTGCTCTACATTCTCAGGGGTGCCTTGAGATGGTGGCAAATGGTTTATTTTCATGATCTGCCTACCTGTGCTAAGTATCTGATAACCAATAGATTGCACTGTGGATAGACTGCTGGACCTGGAGTGAGAAAGTAAAAATTCCTATCTTTTTTCTGAACATGTCACTGATGAAGTTTTTGTGCACTGTGAAACTCCTTTTTCTCCCATAAATCCTGTGGTTTTTAATTGCGAGATTTTACATAGCCACATTATAGTGGAACTGCCTTTGGTAGATGTCACGGATTTTAGGTTGGGCTATTTCGCATTACCCGATCTGCTTGAATACTAGTGGCCATATCTGAGTACACTCCCAGAAACCCCACAGAACAGGAACAACGTGAGAAGTGGCAATGATGGCCTAACAGAAGAAGAGACAGCCAGAGTCATCCCTGCAGGGGCTGATCGCACTATGTGGCTCTCCGTCCCTGCCAAAACCTTTTTATTTTGTGTTACGATGTGAAGAAGCAAGAACTCCCTTCTGGTGATGCCTCTAAGGGCTTTGTAATAGAAGTGGATAGAAGAGACTCAAGAGGATGTCTGTCACACAAGAAGTCCGTGTTGCTTTGGAGATAGTGGAACGGGCTTACCAGGTAAGAAACTTCATATATTTTTTGCATGTTTGTGTCAGCTGCTAGGGGCTGGGAAGCCACTTTATCCTCCTTTTCTTCTTCCTGTTCCTCCTTCTTCTCCTCCCAAGTTAACCAGAATTATACTATACCTCTATAGCAATTTTGATTATTATAAATACATGGATTAAAAATAAAGGTCATATGAAGAAAGATGCTATCTGCAGCCAGAGAAAGAGCTAATAAATAGAAGCATGTATAGAATAATTTTACAACTACACACACACACACATACATACATACATACATACACACACACACACACACACACACACATACACATAACTATTTGTGTCTAATGGTAGCTATCTCTAGGGTAGGAGGAAGAGGGGAGGAAAAAAAAGGAAAAAAGAGATATGATATTCTGCTATGAAAATGCTTGTTTTGTTCTGTGAATTGAAAATAAAATAAATTACTAAAAAAATAATGTAGCTCTAGCCTGCCTCTTCCCCACTTATGTTGTGGTACCTGGGGCAAAAGCTCTGACTTAACCAAACCCTAGAGATGCTCTGGTTAGAATGACCCACCACCAAAAACAAATACTTGAAAATCAATCAACAGCCCTTTTGGCATCACAATCTAGCACATACTTGTTTGCAAATCCAGGTATGTGGGAGAAGGAAGCTCCCTGATGGAGCTGTCTACCCAGAAGACATCAGGTGACCTATGGCATCATCAGGGCTTCTGCTTGGATTAGATTTCTGAATCCTGTGTGATGGGAAGCTACCTGAAGGCAAGCTCTGCATGTTCTACTTACTCTTTAAAATAGTAGGATACGTACTACAGTTCTGAGGCCAAGCTTTAAATCCATAAATGCTTAGTGACATGCTATGCTTCTAAAACTGTAATGTTCACAAGCTCTAAAATAATCATAATTAAAGAAGCTGGCTGTAGCTATTGGCAGAGTCCTTCTACTCTCTATTCTTTTTTTCTGCAAAGCATTTGAGGTTAGGTGACTTTCCCAGGGTCACACAGCTAGTAAGTGTCAAGTGTCTGGGACCAGATTTAAACTCAGGTCCTCCTAATTCCAGGCCTGGTGCTCTATCCACTGCCACCTAGGTGCCCCTTCCCTATTCTTACCTTTTAGGTTAACCTCATAGCCCTCCAGGCTTCTGACTTTATCAGTTACCAAATAGCAACCATTCTTTAAAGCCTTCTATAGCTGTCTTTCTATCAGATAATCTATACAAAGAGTAGATGAGCAGCTAAGTGGCACCAGAGTACATAGAGTGCTAGGCCTGGGATCAGGAAGACTTACCTTCCTGAGTTCAAATCCAGCCTCAGACACTTATTAGTTGTGTGAGTCTGGGCAAGTTACTTAACCCTGTTTGCCTTAGTTTCCTCATCTGTAAAATGATCTGGAGAAGGAAACAACAAACCACTCTCCAGTGTCTGCCAAGAAAACCCCACAAGGGGTCATGAAGGGTCAGACATGACTGAAAAATGACGGAAAAAAAAACAAACCCAAAGAGTAGATGGCCAGGTCTTTTATAACTTTGATGAGGAAGCCAGAATGGTAGCTGGAAACTGGAACACAAAAGTGTCATAACTGGAAACAAAATTATAGATATCCATAGGTTTCTTAACTATGTGTTGAAACATCAGGATCATAGGTAACTGACAGCAAATAAGAGAATCATAGTGTTACAGAAAGACCTGACAGCCCATCTCCTCTCATGTCCTCATTTTTTAGCCCATAGAGGTTCTATGACCTGTCCAAGGTCATTACTGCTCAAAGTCTGGTTATAGTTTGTTGTTTTAAAAAAAAACAACTCAAAGAAATTAACTTTTTCTCATCAAATACTAATGTTTCTGGGGTGAAAGTTTAGTACAGGAAATTGGCAGCACTTTTTAAAAAGCATTTTTCCTTTTAAATTATGCTTTTATCGTTAAGTCTTGTCATCAACTGTAAGAGCTGAAAGGGACTTCAAAAATCATGTATTCCAAACCTTGAAGAATACAAAGAGATGAATTTACCTGTCCAAGTTCCCAGAACTAATCTGAGCACGTTCTAGAACCCAGGTAATTTTTTCACTTTGCCAAGAAAAATATCATCCTCATCTACGTTCTGTTGCCAATCCCCATAACAGCTATAGGACCTGAAAGGGAACTCAAGAGGCCATCTGGTCCAGTCCCCAGCTTCAAGTCAAAGCTGTGTGAAGGAATGTTTCTCTTTCTTTTCTTTTTTAAGGCAATTGGGGTTAAGTGACTTGCCCAGGATCACACAGCTAGCAAGTGTCTGAGGCTGGATTTGAATTCAGGTCCTCCTGACTATAGAGCTGATGTTCTATCCACTGTGCCTAGGAATTCTTCTTCTTTTTTTTAATTTTCATTAATTTTTTTTTGGACGGTGAGACAATTGGGGTTAAGCGACTTGCTCAGGGTCACACAACTAGTATCAAGTGTCTGAGACCAGATTTGAAGTCAGGTCCTCTAGACTCCAGGGCCGGTGCTCTACCCACTGCACCACCTAGCTGCACCGGGAATTTTTCTTAGTGAACACCTAAATAATAAGGTCAGAACTGAATGGAAAAAGAACAATACCTGAAGAGCAAGGCAGAAGAAGATCCATCATCACTGAATCTGCTCCTTTGGTGTAAACATTTATTTCATCCGTAAGGGGATGCCTGATCACCACTGACATCCTCTTCCTGATGGAGTCAAAGCCCAGCGTGTGTAAAAGCTCAAAGGTTAACCTCCCCAGGTAAGGGAGTTCTACAGAAACCTGGTCGGGCAGCCTGCCAACGAGGGAGCAGTTGTAGGCTCTGGCTGCATAGACAAGGGCGGCTTCATCGGGACTCTCAGCCTCGTAACGAAGCTCCCCCTCTTTGAGTCCATTCTCGGTTGCCCAGCCGCCTCCAGGCTGCACACCATAACCGTTGGTATTCATCTTCGGGGAGGAGCGGGTCAGTCCAGCTTCGAGTTTGAGCAGGGTACTCTCAGTGGACAGTGTGGACAGAAAGCTGGAGCCCGTTTTGTGGGTCGATTTGCTGGTAGAGAGGCTTGAGGAGCTTCCACTGTTCGATCCAGAAGTCAGGCGGCTAGGAGTGAATCTTCGGATGAAATCTTCTATGGTCTTCACTGGAGACTTCAACTCAAACCTAACTCTCACCTGCCAAGGCAGAGAAAAGCAAAGAAATGAGGAAACTTAACTTGTTCAATCAATGACACCAATCCCTAGATACTAGCATAAGGGTGAAAAATCATCTTCAGGAAGGACAAAGGATGGATTCTCACAAAAAAAATATTGCAGTGAAAATCCAACAAAAACTTTCTAAATACTTAGGAAGAGTAGGGAAGCCAGGTGGTAGACTAGCTAGAGTGTCAGGCCTAGAGTCAGGAAGACTCATGTTCCTGAGTTCAAATCTGGCCTTAGACACTTACTAGCTGTGTGACCCTGGGCAAGTCACTTAACACTGTTTGCCTCAGTTTCTTCACTTATAAAATGACCTGGAGAAGAAAACGGCAAACCACTCTATTATCTCTGCCAAAGAAAACCCCAAATGGGGTCATAAGAGTCAGACATAATTGAAAAACAACTGAACAACTTAGGAAGAGTCCTAGAAATTTATTTTCTGTAAGTTAAACATTGACCAAGACATACTGACGACTCAATACCTGTTTTTTCCAATATTGACTATGGTAGGTTTCAAAAAGTGAACCAATCCTGGTTTGGCCAAATTAACTTTAAGAATGTGGACCCTAGTGGAGGGGCAAGTCAGAGAACAGAAGCTCTCATCTTGGGGATACAGTTTTTTTCCCTAAATGATCTCTTGGCATTCTCTATTTGATTTGTGCAAATGAACCAGATGACAAAAACGGTCCATTATGCCATATGGACATCTCTGCTCTCAGAAATACTAGTTTGGAGTATACTAGCATCTCTGACTAAAAGCAGTGTAGTACAAATCACCCAGTTGTTTCTGAATGTCCCTCCCTTCCCACAACCCCTCAGGTTGCAAAGATGATTATGAATTTGCCAAAGTGTATTTTACAAACTGGAGGGTGGGGGACGAACAATCAGAAACAACTGGGACCAATGTGTTACAAAATGTCTCCCACTTTTTGATCCTCTCCAGCTCCATTAAGTTTGAAGGTAATTTGATTTGATTTTCTTAAGAGTGATCTCGATGTATTTTTTTCACTTTCAACTCAAGGCTCTCCTTTAATGTCTCCTTTACCTACTGTATATTATTTTCAAAAATCAATAGAGTATTACAGATTTTCCCCATTTTAAACAATTTGGTTGTGTGATACATAGAATCATAGTATTTTAGATCCAGAAAGCACTCGTTTTTTATTTTTGTCTTGGTACTCCTCCCCATTCCCTGTCCCTATTCCCCCAGCCCAGTGCCCAGTACTTCAGTGTTTGTTCAATTGTATCTCATCTAATCCAACTCACTTGCAAATTCGTTAAGTATGTGGTAGGTGCTGGGAATAAGGTGAAAGTGAGAGTCTTTACTCTCAAAAGACCTCTATTCTACTAGAGGAGACAACATATAAGTTTATCCATATAAATCGGATATAGGGTGATTTTTCTAGGGTGTGTGTGATGGAAGACACTGGTATCTGGGGGGATTAGGAAAGGCTTGTCTAGGTGGTCCATCTTGAAGGACACTAAGGAGTCTAATGAGGCCCAGGAAACTGAAGTGATTTTTCCAAGGCAGTGCAAAGAGTTAATTAGCAAAGAGGTAAAGGGAGAATGTAGATCTCCAGACTCATAGCCTAGCTCTCTTTCCATTATATCAGACTGCATCTCTAATATTAATACAACCTCAAAGGCAAATGGGAAAATTCTTGGTCACTCTCCATCTATAAGAGGTTCAGTTGCAAATAAGGTCTTAGAAACTTGTAAAATTTAGTACCAGAAATAGAAAAAAGAAAACAAAAAGAAAAAAACAGGCTCTGATATATTTCCACCTCCCCATATTAGAGTCCAGGACTTATTTCCCAACCATGTTCCCTTGAATGACAGAACTGAGATTCTGTATGACTTAATGCTCAGGCCTCTCTGCTGTAGGTAGGAAGCTGCTATGACAACCAGTAGAGCCCTGGGGTAAGCCTTGACTTTTTCGGTTTCCAGTTTGTTAACTGCTAGCCTGTATTTACCCACAAAAGGCCTACAAGATCATGGAAAAGGCAGACCACTTTTTTATTTCTTGTATTGACCATTATAAAACTGGGGTATAGTTGGTATGAACTTTTTGTCGGTGGCAGATCCCAATAAGTCCCTGCTAGCTCTTTCCTGAAATTTGCTGCCTACCCATTCCCTCATGTTGGGTCCGTATATAGTTACCCCTTCCACATTGTAGGGCTTAGGGGCACGGTGTGGAAAATCTGTGTAAATTTCTTGGCCCTCCCATCGTACCAGAGAAGAAGTATGAATTTTTTATTTTTCTTTTATGGAATGTATAAAACTATTGTAAAATTTGGGTTAAGTATCTGGTCATAAGTATTTGGCTATATGTAGGTCAATGTTAAGTAAAAATATTTTTTTCTCTGTTGTGGCTTCTGCAAAACTCCCCCAAAATTCCCATTTAATTTCTTATGCCAACCCCTGATATATTGAAACTGTGATGGGGCAAGTTGCAATGTGGAAAGGATAACTGTACTTGGATTCTCACTACAATGTGTTTACTTAAGAATCCATGTTTATTTGCTCTCTCCTGGGATACTGACCAAGGCTGCTTACTTAAAGCACACTTCTTGCCCATTCCTTCTGGTTTGCCTAACGTAACAGTATTCAACTATGACCATTTGCCTGTATGGCACTTTGTATTCATCTTTTCATTCATTCATTCATTCATTCATTCATTCATTCATTCATTCATTCATTCATGCATACATGCATGCATGATTCAACAATCATTTATTTTACTGAGGGACAGGTGGATTGCCAGCTGATTCTGAGTCTTACATCTCTCCTGCCTTGTCTTTCACTTACCTGTGGAATTTAGCCCTGACAACCAATGCTTGAGATTGGAGTATGTGAATATTGGGAGAAAAACCCAGACATCAAAGTTTTATTTCTGATTTAAATAATGATAATTAATATACATATATGTTTGTCTGACAGCAATGGATAGAGGATTAGATCTGGAGCCTCCAAGACCTGGGTTCAAATGTGACCTTAGAGAATTTAACTAGCTGTGCAACCATGGACAAGTCATTTCATCTTTGTCTGACTCCATTTTCTCATCTTAAAAATGTAGGTGCTGGGGGCAGCTAGGTGGAGCAGTGGATAGAGCTCCGGCCTTGGAGTCAGGAGGACTGAGTTCAAGTCTGGCCTCAGACACATAACACTCACTAGCTGTGTGACCCTAGGGCCTTATCAAAAAAAAAAAAGCGTAGGTGCTAATGACAGTACATACTTCCTAGGGTTGTGGATAAAGCACTGGGCCTGGAATCAGGAAGACCTGAGCTCAAATCTGGCCTTTGACATTTATTAGCTGTGTGACCCTAACCAAATCACGAAACCAGTAAAATGGGGATAATAATAGCACCCACCTCCCAGGGTTGTTGTGAGGACCATGTGAAGTAATAATTACAAAGCACCTAACACAGTGCCTGGCACATAGTAAGCGCTATGTAAATGTTAGCTATTATAGTTGTAAAGTGCTTTACAAACCTTAAACCACTATGTAAATGCTGATTATTATTAATGTATAATCAGTACTAAGAATTACACTACAAAAAAGATCTCCGCCTTTAACACACATCATACCGCCTAAGACTTTGGAAGACTGTCACCAAAGTGGGGGAGCCCTGACGTCATGGTGGCCAAGATGGGACTCACCTTGTGCCTTGGCTGATTGGGGGCTGTCACTACGACTGTATTGCAGATGGTCAGGGCTATGAAGAAGTCAAAAATGTCAGCGAGTTCCGGAGTGAGATGGGACAGTGACTTCTCCTGGTTTCTCATGATCTCCAGACACCTAGCACATTCATTTACCTTCTCAAATAGTTTTGGATCAGGGGTAATGTCCTTTTCCTAGAAATAAATGAATGATGAATGACAATTAGTGGTATTTTAGTGGCATTGTTATTATTATTGATATTATTTTGCTTAAAACCTCTGAAGAATACACATTACCCAAAGGGTAATAAAGACACACGATGAGTTTAAGGAGGCTGCTACAGGTTACCAATGACCTATTTTCTTAGATAGCATTAAGCTTTCTTGAGGGGAGGGAAGTCTTTTACTGCTTTCTGTACTCCCAGCGCTTAGCACAGTGCCTGGGGCACATAGCAGGTACTTAATAAATGTACAGTTATCCCTTCTACATTGCGACTTTTCCCACTGTGGTTTCACTATACAGCAGGTAGGCATAAGAAATTAAATGAGAACTTTAGGGAATTTTGGGGAAGCTGTAGATGGCACACAAATGCCAGCAGACAACACAGAAAAAAGTTTAGAAACTCAAAAATGCATTAAAATGTATGTATAGTATTGCATAATATCAATATATTTTATCTTTTAATACCATAATAATTCAGACTTCTTCTCTGGTAGGACGGGAGGGCCAAAAAATTTTGCACAGATTTTCTGGATCATGGGGATGCCACACCCCTAACCCCCACAATGTGGAAGGGAGAACTCTTGTATTGTATCCTCGGGAAGTGGTATAAAAGACGTCACAGAGGGCAGGTAGCTTTGAAAGGAGACTGGCCAATCATGGAGAAAGACTGAGAAAGAGAAGAGATACAAAAACAGACACAAAAAATAGACAAAAGAGGAAGGGCTCGAGAATAATGGAGGATTTAGGAGAAAACGTAGACAAGAAGGATAAGGTATAGAGGAGTCTGCAATCTATACTGGTAGAGAAAGTGTTTACATCAATAACACCATGTATCCATCAAAGCACTGGAGATATATACATTTGTTTTACACTAAGCTCAAAGCAGGCCCTAAAGGAAAAAAAAAGAAGGAACTGGAAGATCTTGGAATAAATACAATGCCACTACTTTGCAGTATGCATACTGCATTAACTTCCAAAAGCCACAATGGGGTAATTTACAGTCTGTCCTTTCTGAATGCATCTTTGCCTGGAGTTAGTGTGTCAGCAGCATGGAAAAGACCACCCCTATGGAAAACGGCAACTTCTCAAAGGTTTATAGGAAGAAGAACAAATTGGAGAACCTCTGTGTAAATGCAGACTGTCCCAGAATATTCTTTCTGGCAGTTTTTTGGACTGGAACATTTCAGGAATGGAAAAGTCGTTTTGAGAGGTTGGCCCTTCTTCTGGAGATGTCCCCATCTGTGGTGGTCCATGGTATTTAGGCAGCTGGCAGAGTCACGTTTATTTGGTTGATGCTTACCATTTTTCCTCCCCCCCTGCCATTAGGATTTTTGCTTATTTGTACCTGTCAGACCCGGTTTGACTTATTTATTTTGTTTGGCATCAGGAGTTTCCTGACAATGTCAATCTGTCTTAGTGGCTTTTATAGGAGCTGGTTTTTAAGGCCCTGGAATCAGTGTTTAGACATCACAGCAAAATGCCTATGCAATCATTCAGCTTTCTGAAAAAAGTGGGCAATGGAGGGAGGTGGTTAGAGGAACCAAAAATAAGAATGAGGTGATTCCTGGGTGTAAAGTGGAGGAAAACATTTTCCCTTTAAAACAAATAAGAGATGAAAAAAGACACCATGAAAAAGCCCACTGTCCCTCTGCTTCACCTCCTGAAAAGCACACAAAGCATCCTTGCTTCTTAATTTCGAAGTTAAGTGCTGCTTGAGCCAGAGCTCAAGTTAGCTAAAATCCCCTTTCCCCGCTTTGTCATGACTAACCATTGGGCTGCTGAAAGCTGTATGTTTGGATAGAATGCTGGCTCTCTTTGCTTCGGCTCGGCTGCCCGTCCGTCTGTGGGATTTGGTGCTCTGCGTTCTGTGAACCACCTTGACACTTTGGTGACTACCGATGCTGCCCCGCTGGGATAGCGTTCCTCCCTTGGGAGCAGCTTCATCCTCTTCCGAGTCAGCCTCCTGGTACATAGCTATGCGCCGAGCTGTTGGGACAGGGGCAGAGAGCAAAATATTAGACAGGTGTGGGAGGAGACACAAAGGGGAGCTTGGCTGGGTCAAGGAGTCTAGACCATTGTGGCACAATATCTCTTCCACTGTGTTCTTTGCAAAATCACACCAAATGATAAATTTAGGCAAAAACTAGAAGTACCGCTCAGCCTAACAATGCTTCTTCACTTAACTTATTCTGAGTAATGTCACAAATCAGTTGCTCTCATTCCCTGCAGTCAAATTTGGCTATTGTCTGTCATCGGGTAGCATTCTTCATTCCTCTGTTGCATTCCAGAACTCCTCTACTATTCCCCAGTTCTTCACCCTGAACCCTCACTCCAAACTGGGAATTCACACATTGGAAGTACCCACCATCCCTAAGGCCTCTCCCTCTGAACAGATGGCTCCTCCCAGAACCTCTATTTAAGAGGGACTCCCACGTCCATCACATCTCATTCCTCTCCAGGGTGTATGCCAGATTTTCTCTACCATGGAGGTAACTCAGTCTCTCCCTTCTTCCCCACTCTCCTCCTTTTTATCTTCCTTTCATGTGTTATATTCCCCTATTATAGCAAAGGCAGGAATTGTCTTTTTTTTCTACTTGTTCCTGGCACTTTAACTGTCTTCCACATGGTAAGCATTTAATAAATGCTCTTTTTTGTTGAGTGGATCCATATTTTCACACAAACTACAGCAACAGCTTCTGAATTCATCTCCTTGAGTACCTCCTTTCCAGCTTTGCAGGCCCTGTCAGAGCTGATGTTCTACTGACATAGTATTCAGAAACCCCAGGTCACTTCCACGCCATACAATCACATGCACTAATGGAAGTATAATTACACAGTTCATGTGAAGTTACCCTCTGTTCTCTACTTATCATTGATGAATTTCCTAGAAAAGAACAGTCCAGCAAATTTAATTAATTTCAGAGAGACATGCAGAATTTGTGGAGGTTCCCAGTAGTTCAAAATTACTGACATTTGGAAAAAACAGATTGTGATTCTGAGGGGAGTGGGTTCCAAACCTGTGATTTTAACAGTGTAGGAAACTCCCAATGATGAGACTCCATCTACCAATGAAGACTGGCAAATACTCTACAATTTATAATAATTTTTTTTGTTGCTGAGTTGTTTTCAGTGGTATCTGTTTGTGACCCCCTAGGCATGCCAAGCCCTTCTATTTTCCATTATCTCCCAAAGTCTGTCCAAGTTCATGATGCATCCCCTTCTGCTCATTACCTCTCATTTGAACTATGGCAATGACCTCTTTAACTGGTCCATCTGCATCATTGTCATCTCCCCGCCTCTAAAGTCCTGTCTCCAAATACCTGCCAAAATAACATAAGTCTGACCATGTTACTCCTCTGCTTGAGTTAGTTCTCTGGCTCCCCAGTATCTTTAGTACAAAATATTGATTCCTCTGCTTGGCAGTTAAAGACCTTCCCAATTTAGCTCCAGGCTGTCTTTTCATCCTGATAATACATTACTCTCTTCTCATAAATGCTCTATTCCAGTCAAACCATCCTATTTGCTGTTTCTGTATAAGACATCCCCTCTCCCACCTCTATGCCTTTGTGAACCCACCCCCCCTTTCCCCTATACCTTGAATACTTTCTGTCTTCATCCCTACCTCTTGGGACCTTTACCTCTCTTCAAGGACATCTCCAATGGGAGATATTTCCTGATTCCCCAGTCATACCTCTGATCTTGCTATCACCCACAAATTTACCACCTGCATGGTCAAGAGCTCTGAAACCCCTTGCTGGACCACAACCTATTGACATTTCATTTCTTCCTTTACCTTCTTTTACAAAGCCTTACTCTTCACCCCCACCGTGACTTCCAATCCTCTGACCCTTCAATTCTCTCCTTGGCCATCTCACTTGCAGTAGCCAGTCTTCCCTTTTCCTCAGGGTGAACCAATTCAACTTTACACTACCCTCTCCTTTTGAATTCCTAGCAACCTCCTCCTCATATAACCAATTACACCCTGCCAAGCCCCAATCTTAGATCATTCCCATCACTTGCCACTCTTGCTCCACATTTGTGCTGCTGAATGAAAGTGGAGAAAATCACACAATTGCTCTGATTAGGTGTGCTACAAATTTAATTTACACAACCTTAAATGGGCCCTCACTGCTGCTGGGCAATCTTTTTTTTTTGGGGGGGGTGAGGCAATTGGGGTTAAGTGACTTGCCCAGAGTCACACAGCTAATAAGTGTCAAGTGTCTGGTCTGAGACTAGATTTGAACTCAGTTCCTCCTGAGGCCAGGCCCGGTGCTCTATCTACTGCACCCATTTAGTGACCCCTAGGCAATCTTTTTATACCTTCCTTATCAACTCCCTATATTATTTTCCACAGTGACTATTCCAAACCTTTTCATCCCTCCTTAAACCACTCATGGCTCCTGTTCCCCTACCCTTTCAGCTGAGAGCCTTTTGCAGAAAAAAACTTGTCATTTGCTGTGAGTTCCCTCTTCTTCAGATGTCTTCATCTCTGTTTCACATGATGAAGTAGCCTTACTCCTTACAAAGGCTAAACCTTCTACTTATTCAATCATATTCCATCCCATTTCCTCTAACATACTGTGCCCTTGGGTCATCCCCACTCTTTCATGTCTTTTCTTTTTTTTTTCCTTTAGGCAATTGGGGTTAAGTGACTTGCCCAGGGTCACACAGCTAGTAAGTGTCAAGTGTTTGGTCTGAGGCCGGATTTGAACTCAGGTCCTCCTGGCATCAGGGCCGGTGCTCTATCCACTGCGCTACCTAGCTACCCCTTCTTTCACTTATTTTCAGTCTTTCTCTGTCTCCTGGTTCATTTTCTACTGCCTAGAAACATGACAATGTCTCTCCTATCCTAAAAAAACAAAACAAAACACAAAAACAAACAAAAAAAATCCCTCACTTGTCCTTCCATCTCCACAACTATCACCCAATGTTTCTTTTCTCCTTTGTAGCTAGACTCCTCAAAAAGGCCACCTACAATAGGTGCCTCCACTTTCTCTCCTATCACTTTCTTCTTAACCTTTTATAGTCCAGCTTTTGATGTTATAGCTTCACCCAATTTGAGCTCTCCAAAGTTATCAAATCTTTAAATGCCAACTTCAAATGGCCTTTTCTCAATCCTCATTCACTTTGACCCCTCTGCAGCCTTGGGCACTGTTGATCGCCCTCTCCTTGATCTTTTCTTATCCCTAGGTTTTCAGTACCCTATTCTCTCATCACTCCCTCTTAGTCTCCTTTGCTGGATCTTCACCCAGCTCATGCCCCCTAACCATAACTGTCCCTCAGGGTTTTATTCTAGGCTTTCTTCTCTTCTACTTGGAGATCTCATCAGCTTCCATGGATTTAATTACCATCTTTATACTGCTGATTTTCAAATCTACCTACCCTGCCCTGATTTCTCTGCTGACCTCTAATCTTGCATGTCCAACTGCCTTTCAGGCACCTCCAACTGGATGTCTTGTAGACGTCTCTAACTCAACATATCAAAAATATAACTCACTGTATTTCGCCCTAAACCCTGCCTTTTTTGGGTCCCCAGTGATTAGCACAGTGCCTGACACATAGCAGGAATTTAATAAATGTATACAGATTAAGAATAATCATAATGTCACCCATTAAATCCAGAAGATAAGAAATTATATTCCTTCTTTCCACAGTCTTAATCCTGTTAAGGTAATCACTTTAAGAGATTTTTTTTTTATGTTCATAAGTCATATTTCTCCACAGCAAAATATAAATTCCCTGAGGGCAAAGACTGGTTTATTTTGGTTTGGTATCCCCAGTACCCAGAACATAGTATGTGTTTCATAAATATTTTTTGAATGAATGACTATTAATAGCCTTGTTGAAAGAGAATCTGCAATAGGTACTACTGCCTTGTCACAAAGGCCAATCAGATGATCAGTAGCCTGATATGAAAGGAGAAAGGTCTTTCTTTTATCCTCCCCGCATAGCCAGTGCAGTCTTTCATGAAAGGGAGAATGGGTGTTCTTCCCATGCCAAGTATGATTTCCTAATCACTTCTTCTCAATCCCTCACTAATCAGTCATTCTAAATAAAGCTCCACCATGAGACACAGTGTCTTTAGATGTGGCCTCTTGATCCACTTTGAAGCTACTCATACTTTTCATTTCTTGCCCTCTTTAGCTATAACACTTTCATTTCACTTGTAGGGATTGGCTAGCTTGCTTGGGAGAATTTGATTTTTTTTTTCAAATCACAGAAGATACATTATTTGACCATGTAAAACTTGACATCTGAAATAGATTCTTTCAGTTAAACCTTTCCCAAGAGCAACTCTCCATTGAGATCAATATACTTTATCCCTGTCTGTGTTCATTTTGTTTTTAATAAGATGATTTCTTTGATGTTCTTTGATGCTGTTACAAGAAGGAAAACTTGCCCTGTTAGGAGGTACAAATGGTGGTAGATGAAGATGGTTAATTATTTAAAAGTGCTGACTGTCCCTCCCAATATTTGGCTGACTTACCATAATACATAGCACTGAAATTCTTATCATAACATTCTCTCCTTGCAAGGTGGAGACTTTCAGTTCTATACGTGGCTCAAAAAACTGATGGTTTCACTGATGTGATCAGACATGAATAAAACTCCAAAAGAAAGGGAGGAAAGGGTTGGGAGGCAGAGTCTGCTTAACTTCATAGTGAAAACAAAATTCCATGATTTGTTAAGTTTTAAACAAAGTCTCCACAATCATGAAAAGAATCATACACAGTTATATTTTAGACTTTCTGGGTTGGGGAGTTGTTCAAAATTCAGCCCTCTTACACATATCATCCTTAGTTGCAAGTCAGAAATTACTTAAGATTGTGGTTTATATTCAATTTTAAGCTTTACAACTGGTTCCCTGTTCAGCATGGCCTTGACCATTAGGACAAAAGTAAAACACAATCATGGAACAACATGGCAAACCATAGCTCACCATTAGCATCATGTGAGTATTCTATGCCAGAAACAGTGCATCTTCGGAAAATCATCTTGTTTTCAGTGAGAGTGCCAGTTTTATCGGAGAAAATATATTGTATCTGTCCTAAATCTTCTGTGATATTCAGGGCTCGACACTGTAGTTTGGAGTCTGTTTCTTCATCATATAGTTCTTTATCTTGGTGAATAAAAAACACCTGACATATTTTGACAATTTCAATGGAAACATACAAGGAAATCGGGATTAGAACCTAAAAGAGAGAAACAAAATACATGAATGAGTTGGAAAGAGTAGATATATAGGATGTTGAATTGATCTAATCTATTCAACTTTATAAAACACTAAAAAACCATAAATAAGTATGGACCATACTGTACCTTCAAGAGTTTAAATAAGTTGGCTTAGAGTCAATATTGGAAAGTTATTAGAATATTGACAAAGAGTTTACTGTAATAAACTAGGAAAGCCTATGATGCAACTGCAGAGCAGAAATCCATTATTATATCTGGAAGTGTGATAATCATGGCTTGGATAGAAGCAAGCATTTTCGAGTAATAAGTTGGACTTGAGAAAAGCTAGGAAAGGAAAGAGAGAGAGAAAGAGAGAGAGGGGAAAAAAACACATGGTATAGTCAGAGTTCTGCATAAAGCAAAAGAAACCTTGCATTAAAATGTCATGCTAACCCCCAAGTTTTACATACATTCACAGCAGAAGATAGATAAATTTCTCCAGTCACAGAAAAATGCAATTAATGGAGCCATATCTTACAGAAAAAGCAATCTTTTCAGTTGATTTTGTGTCCTAGTTAAATGACAGGCTAGTTTTATGACTGCTACAACGTACAGAAGTCAAGTACTTTTCCAGGAAAATATTTTCAGCAACAGCTTGATAATTTAAAAAACAAGCACCAAGAAATTCTTCTTTCATAGTCATTGATATTGTGGTGTTTTGAAATCTAGGTGGACTAGATGTACTTGGTAACTCAAATTTGTAGACAGGACAACCACAGTACCACTAGCCAAGAGCTATGATACAATTTGAATACGTTTTTTTAAAAAGACTAATTAGAGATGTTAAATATGATTGTTTGCTGGTATTCAAAACATATAATTAAGAGGCAATAACTTTGTTCCCCTTTTGTGAGAGGTCTAATGAAGTATTTTTCGTTCAAGGTCCCATGAGCCATTTGCAATGCAGCAAGCCTCCTTTTTCTTATCACACTTGGGAAGAACCTCCTTACTTTTCTGACATACTGTACTTTCTGGTTAAGGGATTTGTATAATTATGAATGCAGGCAAGAAGGTACAGGGGACAGAAAAAATCAAGGCATGCAGATTTCCAGAGAAGCAATAAGAAAACTTGAACCTCAAGATTATCCATGTAGACTACACAAGGAAATTTCTGTTAAGTCGACAACTTTTGAAACAAATGCGCTTTTTGATTCTTCGGACTTCATACAACTATAGGTAGCCTTTGGGAAAATCATATCAATGAATGAGTTCCATTTTTAAAAGAAAATGGAATAATTATTATGTTGTACTTAAGACTGTTACCTGAAGAACTATTATCATCGTCAAAAATAAATATACTGCAGCTAGAACGGGAGACAAATCGCTGCCATCCGATTGTGGGACATCAAATAATGGTTTCTTCCTCTCTCCATACTGCCGTACCCATAGTCCGTGACCTGCAACATGGTGTGAAGAGGAATGTCATTGAAACAACTGAAACAGTATATTTGGTGGAAATGAAAACGTAGTGTTAAGAAAGCATTAAGCCTACCTACATTTAAATCAGGTCAGTATAATCTGGTTTTGTTAAATTACATATTGGCATTCTGTGCCTGTTTTGTTAGAAGAGGAAGGATAAAAATATACGATTCTCATGGGGAGTTGGGATTAAATTGCTGGAAGCACTAATACCCACCCTCCCCCTATCTACCCATTGTTGGTACTTAAATTACTGAATTGCTAAAGAAAACATGAATTCTATGAGACCTGCCAACTTACAATGTTAAGTTCCTAGAAGAAAGGGATTATGTGTCACACTGATGCACTTCAGCACACTGTGCTTTTTGGGAAAATGATAACCACTAAATAACAGTCTGTTTAAAGACACTTACTCTGCCTACCCAGACGCTGGTACACTCACCTGCTGAGTCTCTACTAAGGTGCTAACGCTGTCCAGAAGCACAGCTAGTGGCTCTAAAGATGTATATAGCAATAGCAATCGCACTGCATACCAACTAGCCTTCACTGCAAAGTGAAGGGAGGTTTCCTTCTATAATGTAGTTCTCTATACCACTAAAGACATTTCTATGATTTCTAATACAGGTACTACTTAGAATGAATCATCCTAATCAAGAGATTTACACCCAAAGCTAGGACGGAGAGTGGGAATAAGGGTGACTCAGACAAACTTAAATATAACTCATCTTTGACTACCAGACAACAAGTATATTTTTTTAGTTATGAGAAGAAATTGTGGAGAGGCACCATAAAGTAATCGACAGAGTCAGCCTTGAAGCCAGGAAGACTTGGGTTTGAGGCCTACCTCTGACACACTTTGGCTGTGTAATCCCAGGCAAGTTGTTTAACCTCTCTGTACTCCAGGTAAATATCTAAGGTTATAAATAGCAAGCAGGTGCTGCCTTGCATTGGTAGAGGAAAGGATTTTTCATCAGGTAGTTTCAAAAATCACCAGTCTAGCCCCTATTACTATCCTTGATAAGACAAAAACAACCACCAAAAAAAACCTCACCAAGGCTGAAATGTAAACTCACATGAATTCTTAATCATGCCATCATCTGCCCTGAATACACATTAAAAGAAAACAGACATGAATTTCCTGATTGACAGAATTCCCATTATCAACACCCTAATCCACACCCTAAATAATTCTACCATTAAGGCCAAAATTGTTTGATTGTTAAACATGAGAGGCAAAAGTTAAAAAAAGAAGAATACCACTTAGAAATTAGATTTAGATGAATAACAGAATATTCTAATTTTTTATAAAGGGGTCATATTGGTATCTTTGGTCAATTTCAAAGACTTCATTAAGATTTTACTTTTGGACACTGAGTTTTCAAAAAATTTCGGCTTCGATTTGTTGCTAGAAAGATGACTTACCAACAGCTGAAAACAGACACATGACTATGAGTATAAGGACACACCAAAGGACATCCATATTCATTTGTCTTTCAAGCTTACTTCGCTTGTAACGTGGCCCACTGTTGTTTAGCAAAGCTTTAGTCTCATGTCCTGTAATTAAAGAGCAAGATTTTGGTAAGGGCTGATAACAACTTGGCACCTTTTGTAATCGTCAAAATTAATACTGATAAATTAACATTAATTATATTAAACATTATTAATATTAATATCAAATAAATTGATAATAAATTAATTTAGATGAATTAGTTTTGATACAGCACAAAAAGAGCCAACTCCTACCTGCATAGATGACTATCCCTGTTACCTCTTCTGTATTTCTAATGGTACATCCACGCAGCAATAGATTTTCTTTATAAAGTGCAGCTTTCTTCCCATTTTCGTGTATACTGTCAAAGAATAGTTTGGAGCATGTCAGCTCAAGTAAAAACCACATCCTTCATCTCAGACAATAATGTGCTGAGACAATCCACTAGCCCAGCGAGGGTATAATATAGTCAAAGTTGAGGGAGTTGGCATATTAAAAGCGTGATATACTGCTTAAACAAAGCTAGAAAGAGCAGGTCCAGTGCTATAATATTTTAAATACTCTCCCTATTATTGAAATGTGCTCCTCTCCTTCCTGCTGAACTCCTACCCACTTTTAAAGCCCAACTCAAATATCACCTTCTCCAAGAATCCTTCCCTGATACCTATTCTCTTTCCCATGGGGCACAGGGAGTAGGGGTGTTAGAAATTATCGTTTTCCCTTGAACCCAACAGTGAATTCTGTTTAGCAACTATAGCTATGTATTATGTAATACAATGCATTAGAGTTATCTTGTGTGTCATTCCTCTACCAGGCTGTCGATTCCATAAGGCAGGGCCATGTCTTAACTAAAGTTTGTATATTTCCCAGAGTCTGACATGTTATGAGCATAGCGGGTGCTTAATAAGCTGTGGCTGAATTGAATTGTTAGATGTTAACATTTTTCTTTTCTATAAGGCAGAAGGTAGAAGAGCCATCATTGATACCAGCTTATTGAACTACGTTCACTGACTGATACCAATCTGGTAGATAAAAATGTCCGACTCAATCAAAAAGTGTTCTCACCTAGTCAAGGTGACAGAGTCAGATGGGGTGGCTTCAATTCTATCCTTCTACTAACACCAAAGGTCATTTTGCCCTCCTGACACAAAGTAAAATAAGCCCCTTACTTTCTGGGGTATTCCAGTCATCCCAAACAAGCAGCTTTTTGCAAGGTTCATTTCTATGGTTGCAATGGAACCAGTCTGAGACATGGGCATATCCAAAGGAAGTGAGCCCCATCAAGTTTCTTCAGGGTTGTCACCATGAATGAGAAAGATCTGTATGAGATCATGGCCTCTTCAGTGCAAGGTCCCAAGATAGCTTTCAAGAAAGGGCTCTCTAGCTACACTAAAACATAGGTGCTTCAGGAAGCAGTGGAAATAGGGCTAGACCAGCTCTCCTAGGATCAACAGGCCTGAGTTTGAGTTCAGGTTTGGATACTTGTTAATTACGTGATCATGCATAAACCACAAAATTTCTCTGGATTGTAGTTTCCTCATTTGTGAAATATAATAACACATGCCCTACCTAACCCAAAAAATTGTGGGGCAAGTACATGATAAACCTTAAAGCATCCTATAAATGGGAGTTGTTATTACTACATATAAAAGAAGTGACACAGACCTAGTCCCAGAAATGAAATTGAGAATGGGGAAATGGTCATCAAGACACAGAATGCGAGAGCTCAAAGGTGACTCTGAGATGGCCTAACCATTTAACTCTCACATTGTACAGACAGGGCCAACTAGGGCCCAGATAAGGCAAATGACTAGGAAAAATAATTGATGAGACATGCTATTGTCTTTTACATCTTAAGCAGGGTTTTAGCTTAAATTTTTCTTACTTTTTCCCTATTTTAAACTTGAAAATTGGTAAATTTTCTTGATTTCTTTACCATGTCTATTTTATTTTTATCTAGAGTCAGAATATAGCTCCCAGTAAAGGTCAGTGATTTTGAAAGTAGCCACCCCTGCCTTCACATCTGACCTTCATTTTTCTTTCATCTCCATGTTATACTTAACTCCTACCACCAACCCACAGTGTCATACATTGGCACACACAGTCATCCGCCCACACTAGTACACTCTGCTCCCACACCTCAATTATCCACCTCTTCCCTCATATTCATTGTCTTGATCCAATTGTCTTCGTATCTTTGAAAAACACTGCCTACATCCTTTCTGAAGAGTTTACCACAGGTTCTTGATCTTCTCTAAGACTCACACTTTACTGTACTGTCCACTGACTCTTCTAGCAGAGATAATTTTCTGGGCCTGCTTGCTTGAGAAACAAGGGAAAGGAGGTCACAACTGCAAAAGTGGGGTGGGAGAGGGAAGCCAGACCACTGCCTAAGGAACAGAAATCCTCTACTAATTCTACTTTTTCTCTACCTGCAACAAATCAGTATCGCTAAGTCATCCATCGCCTGGACGCGGAGTAGGAGGAAGGATGATTCAGTCACCCTTAACTACAACTTGTGTTTGCCACTGCAAGGTACTAAAAACACTTTTTGTTGGTGCTGAGGAGTTAAGTCAAGGCTGAAATACTAATTGACCTCCTAGAACACACGAATTTCCAAATAATGGTTCTTTAAAAATTCACATGGATTTTCAAATTGACAAAGTTTCTATTATCAACCTTCCACCCACCAACAGACAATTCCAGGCAACTGTGAGCAATATTTTCATCATTGAACATGAGACTGAAAAGAGAAAATTGTATTGCCAATAAAATAAGCATAATGAAGCCAAACTACATAAAAAGTAGAATATGGAAATCCCAGAGGAAATGATCATAAATATCATTGTTAAGTCTGGAGTCAGACAGTGTCTATTGATATTGCATGTATGGACTAATATATCACTTGTTATTCAGACATGGAAAAATACTGCTTCCTGAAAAAGTGACAAGGGACGCAATCAGGACGAAACATTAACCTCATGCAAGCAGAAAACTTTTTTCTTTTAAGAATAAGAAAGAGGAAAAAGTATAACAAGTACAACTCGTGGAAAGGGGGAAAAAAATCAACATGAAGTACCTTCTAAGTCACATTTCTTCAACTACTTACAAATAAGATACAAATTCCTAGCCAAAAAAAAAAGTGTCATCCAAATAAAGTACAAAGCAGAGTACAACGTGTTACGATAAGGATTATGGATTTTGCTGAGATTCATTCAGGTAATAGGGCAAATGAAGAAAAACCCACACATGTAACTGATAGATCAAGGGAATACCTAAGACACAATGAACCTATTACCATATTTCACCACATAACTGTCACACCCTTTTTTTTCAGTCCAAAAATTGGCTTAAAACCTTTCATCATGTATTTGTTGCATGGTACTCGTTCTGTTCATCATGCCACTTAAAAGGTAAACAGAGCAGCAATGTATTAACCAGTGGCATATGGATATGCCTTATATGGACAGGCTCTCTTGCGCATTGCAAACCATGAGCCTAGAATTCTCAGGGAAGGTGAACAGTCAGTATATTTCTGAAAGTATACTTGTGTGGTTGGTTTAAAGTGCTGCGGTACTAATGGTACTGTCACTCAACCCGATGAAGAGCCTTACACACAAGTAGAGTGGGTAGGCAGGCAGAGCTGCCATGAGAAAGTCACGTGAAATGGTAAGACTTGCATCTTTCCACACTAGATAAACTGTACAGTTCATCTGCCAGTGATACAGTTTAAGTAATAAATGATTTTAAGTAATTTTTATTACTTTTTCATCATACAATTTTTATTTTAAAAAATGCTTCACTTAATGGTCACACCCCACCTTTTTGTCAAAACTTGGCATAAAATGTGACAATTATGTGGTGAATTTTTTTCTTTTTTTTAAACAAGGCATTCTTTCAACATGCTTAAAGGGAAAATCCAAGAAGGGTGGCCCAAGAAAGCATACTACTTGCTTCCCTCTGGATATAAATGGGAGAGCAGGGGTAGTAAGGTTAGCTGAATGCTAGAAGCAATCTGTTATCTTTAATACAAAATGAAAGGTACCAAGGACCTCATCCCATTAATTTTAAGACTATAAGACTCAATTCAAATTAAGCTGGTGTGTTTTAAATTCAGGAATACCCCAAAATAGTGTGTCTAGTAGCAAGATCTATCAGTAGCTTTAAAGGCTTGTATGCTCTGCTCATTGGAAAACTGGCCCAGTTCAGCTAATAAAAGTCATAGCCCATCTGTTCTTTCTCAGAAATTGTTATGTCTTCTTTTCATATTTGCTGCTGATAACCTAACTTGGCATGTTATAGTTCATTTGTTTCAGGTCCAAAATGTGAGGATTTGCAGCAGTAAACATGCACCATTGCTGACGAATGACTGCAGAGTAGAGTTCAACTCTGTTTAAAGATATAGGCTATACTGCTGTCAAATATTCTTGTGGCACTTACTTCCTATAGAGTGTCACCATTTGGTGACCAAAGACCCAGGAACCAAAGCTCTGCTTTAAGGACTGCATGTGGATGGAACAAAGCACATTAAACATGTAAATGAAATTCTCATGGAAGCCATTTGAGAAGTATTAAGCCTTCTTTGCCCTTCATACACTTCATACCATAATAACAACCTCCATATACTTCACAGTGGATAGAGGTAACTGTGGATTTTCAAAGACTTTGAAACCCTGGAATGTTCCAACAACAAAATACATCTACTTTCCAAGGAGCAGCCCAAAGTGCAAAAAGATCCATCATAACAACTAGGTAATCAATTATTTGCCTATGACAACCCATGAAATTAAGAAACATACAAAATGGCCAGCCTGTGCTGGCCCTTTCTGCTTCTGAAATAACTAGCAAAGTCACAGAGAAGTGGACAGTGAGGTTAAGAATCACACAGTTTGGGGATTATCTATAAATGTGAACTTAGCCATTAGTATTCTAAAATGTAAGCTTAACTGTCCAGTGACCATAAATAAGTGCACTTTTAAGTACACTGAGCCAGTAGCCTGATCATCACAAGAAGAACCAAGGACTGGGCATTCTCATGCTTTCCTTAGTGATTATCTATTCTATCAAATGCCAGAAAGTGGAAGCGTCATATTCTTTATGGTTTTCTGACATCAATTTATGTTCTATCCTCTATCTCCTAACTCAACCCTTTTTTTGGTGGAAGTTTCTCTACTAGGCTCATGCCTTTACATTTTTCTGTCTTGCCATTCGCCTCATAAACTGACATATGTCCACAGGCCTTAAGATCTTAGAATTAAGGACTGGGGGCAGGATCCCAGCAGACTCTATTCTGAATGTCTTATTTTACTTCTCTTCTCCTCTGTCTTTTATAACTCGTGAAAAGCTTCTGACACCTGCCCT